CCGTGTCAAACCCCACCTCGGTGCGCGTCAGCACTTTAACTGTCAGTGTAACTTAGGTATATTTTCAACCTGTCATAATGCCTTATTTTCTAAACAGTGTCTCCTTTCGTTCCCCTGCTATGATCGCTCAGGTGCGCCGTTCAACTGATGCTCTTTGTGAACTCAAATTTGACAAGTAGAATAGGTAATACAATAGCTTATCTTCCAGCTTCTGTGCAGATCACTTGGACGACACATGTTTGGATGACATTGCCACTGTCATCGAGCTTCGTGCAGACCACGGGGCTCGACAGTCGTCTTCATTCACACTGTCACGTATCCAGCTTCCGGTGAGTGTCACAAGTCCAGTCGTGTGAACCAGGGGATCGGACATTGACCGGTACGCACAGCTCATTATTTCTAAATATGCAACTATATAGCCCCTCTATTGAAAAGGTCAAGCAGGTCGGGCTTGGTGGAATGGTCTCTTGTCCAGTCTTCGGAGACAATGACAAAGTTGAAGGCAAAGTTATTCTAGATCTTAACTGCTTACAAAACGGTCGGCTGAACATATCTGTAAGTCTAATGCGATGGGGTCGTACACGTGAACTCAATAACTGTTGCTATTGTAGATCGAAGGTGTTAGGGTTCTGTAAAGGAGGATCTAGACGACGAATCTGGCCAGGGATCTAAAACTTCGAAATACAAGTATATATTCTTATCGTTCTCTGCCGTTATTCTTATCTTACCTCTCCTTGACCCACTTTCTGTTTTTTGCGACATGTTTAGGGTACCACAACTTCCCAGTGACTCGAATTTGAATGGCCCTGCGCCTAGATCATGCGAATTCAGCTTCGGAATTACTCACGGTAGTCGACCAGGTGACGAGATACCTCCCACCTTCTGTTTTATGCCTTGCGATAGCAGGCGAGGAGGCCTGTCTGTTGTAGAGAAGGCTGAAATGTCTTGTCGTGTTACTACAGCGTATGGGAGCCCACAGATATGTCGGAGACCAGCGGGATGTGCGTTATCGAATGCCAGGCACCACTAGCCTTCAGATACTTACTACTCAGGTTACAGGCTGGAAGTTCCCATTCTTTTTCGTCCGGACACAGACTTTCAGTCTATGGACGGTTCCAATATCGCGCCGGAATTATGGCTCGAAATGCCTCTTACACCAGAGCGATGTGGTTCGTTCCATTGCATCGTGGCTCGAAAACGTGACACGCATGTATATTGTCTCACGAATAGAATCTGTAGGTTACTCTGCCGCGCCTGCAAACGTTTTCTCAGCATTCCTCTGTCCCATATCTTGTTAAGTCCGCAATAAAACCTCGATGTGCTGTACTTGCCCGAGAAATCGCCGCCAATGCCAACATTGCTGTTTCCCTAGTCTGTAAAGTTATCATCAAGCCCCATCAAGCCCCAGCCATCCCTACTTCCGAGTCCCCTGACACCATGCAATTGTTGACATATCCAGTTACTTATCCGGGTGTCGGACGAACTAGGGTGGTACCGTATGCAGATGACGGTCCGGCTCCGATCTTTTACACATCTCTCCCTTGCTCTGATCGATGTATGGTCAAATTTCAAAAAGCACACAATAAAGCAAAGCAAGGTGCCACGTAGTTTGATGCACTCGTCAGTTATATCTCCCTCGAGATTATTCGTTCTTGTCAGTAAACAAGTGACCAAAACTTCTTCTCAGGTCGCAGGTCGCATCCAGCAATGCTTAACAGCTTCACACGTCGAACCTCAGAAATTCTGCGGATATTTTGGCCTAGTGCTTTGATCATCAGCATTTTATTGAACATTCTTACTATGTTGCGCTTGCAACCTGCGTCGCTTGATGATAGGCAGTACTGTATGTCGTTATTTTCACTGGCACTGGCGGCCATAGTAGTTCAATTTCACCCATATTCAACGCAGCTTATATTGGCGAGGATTATCCAACAGAATTACCCCTCCGCCTGGACACTGTTGCATTGAAATTCAACAGTTCGGACCATTATGGTACATCAGACGAGAGGGCCTGGTCGGAATGGAAATCGCTTGATCGTTTTCCACACGGTCACGGATTTGTACGGCTGGGACCAGATGGTATTATAATCATCACCTATATCGTGTGTCAGGCATTCACCATTCACAAATTGTGCCAGGACGGCTATTTGGGATATCCATGTTTCACCAAATTCACTGCCTGCAAATGATCCGGCTAGCCCTCATTTTTGGGCCCAACGGGCACAGTGGTCATTGCATGAATATATTGCGGCAAGGCATTCTTTGCAATGCTGATATTACTCTCGATCCACTTGTCACCGACCCTGATGGATCGATGACAGGCACAGATGGTTTGAACGTGACACATGTTTGTCGGGACTGGTCGCAGCTTTATGACTATATCATAGAAAATCAGAATGGTCCCTTGTGGTGGGAAGAGCAACAAGAGCAACAGATGGCATTGCAGAAAGGGACCTAGGTGTAGGAGTGGAGTACTAGCTACACAACACCGTAGGTTAGTCAAGGTCTTTCGGGCTTTGTCGTATATACGTAGTGCTCTTCACCACTTCTTGCCTTGCTCGTGGCGCGCAGGTACACAGTCACGGATATACCGCTCGAACATGATCATGGCACAAGCAAGTATTGTACATAGCACATTAAAATCCAGCAAGATATTTCGAAGGATAACGTATACCATGATACCGTGAAAATCTGTCGTGTATCCAAGAACCGCTTACTGAATATATTGCTTATAGGTTGCAAAGCGCCCATTTAGTTGTTTCACTCGAATGTTTTGACAGGGCGCACCAGGGCGCACCGAAGCCTACGCAAGCGAAATCCCAGTTTGGATGATATTCAAATTTCATACTCAGAACCAACCACTACACATGCATACAATCCAGCACAAAATATTCCAGAGGATGAAGACGGGAAATTTCCTTTACTGATTCGACCACTCGAATTTCACCATGTTGAACTATTTGTTTAAGTTTCTCCAGCGGAGCCCCTCATATAGAAGGATCAACTACCACAGCACTTCTGCACGGTTTCGTTCAAACCTTAAGCTGAAATTGAATATGCAAATGCATGACGCTACAGTCACACATGAAACAGGAATTGACAAAGATGTGTGGCTGTTCAGGATGCACGCAACTCACGGTATGTGGAAGTTCCTCCCTTCATTCACCTGGATTTGGAGTGCTAAGTGGTCTGACAATTGCTGGCAGTAAAATCATATTCCCTATGCGAACGATTCAAGTTGGTGACGAGATCATATGCGGACTCATCAGACAGTTGGGTAAAAAGCCATTGACCAGATGACACATTAATGGTACAGAGACACTCACACGTCAAACAGGAATTGACGCATCCGCGTCACTATTTAACGTTCAGGATGCACGCAAGTCACGGTATGTCGGAGTTGCTCACTTCATCAGTGTATTGTATTGCAAACTTGAAGTTTAAGACAGACAAATGGAAAAATGAATTACCTGAACAAATCGAAATCGTACACGAAACAGAAAGGCCTGAGTCAGTGAGTCAGCAAGACGGCAGGTGAGTCTGATAATCGAGCTTGTAACGATATAAAACCAGCATTCCTTGAATCGAAGTACACTCAGCACCCCACTAAAGCTCCAACAATCACTTCGCCGTGGCATCTAGCAGTCATGAAAGGATTTTTGTCACTTGTGCTCGTCTCCATCGCTCTCCTGCAGACGACAGCAGCAGTACCCACTGCGTCAGCGCGTCGCAGCATAGTCATTGCACGCACCCCTGAGATCGAGACTAAAGGTAGTTGCCTCGCACTGACATTCTTTTGAACAGTTAGTATACTAATATGTTGACGACATAGATCTTGAGGGGCGCAGCTTCATTCGGTGTACGTTTCGTTTCCACTGTATTCTTGTGTTTTATCTAACGAGAGTCGCATAGACGCGGGTGCCGTGTGTACGTTTCGATTCCACTGTATTCTTGTGTTTTGTCTAACGAGAGGTGCCGCATAGACCCTGATCTTGACGACTCCGAAGGTATGTACTATTCAAGAGTACAGCATTGAGTTTTGACTCTTTCTTAAAATCATTCTAGAATAACTCTAGCCAAGGTTATGGAAGCACTAGTATGTCTTTCAGACCGCTGGCAGTTGTCTGAGTCGTCCTTCTGACTCGGAAATCCAAGTCTTGCAGATCATCAAGACTGTCATTGGTCCAATAACTACAAAGTTCGAGGAAGTTTTTATCTATGTACATTGTACTGCGCTCGTTTGCGGTGAATATATTCTTGAAGTTCCGAACACCTCCATCAGGAAAAACTTCCCCTGCTAATTTCATCTAATTGTAACTTACTGCTCAGTCTACCCCTTCTATAGATTCCGTCCATGCGAACAGGCAACGTAGGCATCTTTGAGTTCTCGGTATACCAGGTCTCGTCGTGTCCACCAGTTGCAATGGCTGGCGAGTAGACGACTGCAAACACCTTTTTGTACCCAGTCTCGATTGGACCGAGGATTGCCTCTCCGTTCTCCACGTCCTCCCACTCACCTGCAGTCCCATCGTAGGATCCGCTCACCACTCACTGACCATCTCGACTCAAGCACACAGACCACAATATTTTTGTCCCGTTCATTTTGCGATAACTTTGCCTGTCACATTATAAGGGGATTTGAACTCAACATGTTTGTTTATGCTAATGCCACCGATGATATGGTTCAAAAGTAACCGTGACCAGCGACTGGGCACTACATTGAGAAGTTCCTCGTATGAAAAGAAAAAATTAGCATAAATCTCTAGACCCGGGCCACATCGCTCATTCCATCGGCACGAAATTTGCCTGCGCGACATCTAGTAGCGCAAGTCCGACCTGAATGCTAACCGGAAGGTCCGGAACCACTCACGGATGCCAAACCTTGTGCAGAAACCCAGTGGGTCAGCTCGACACTTGCAGACCTCTGCTCGAGCAGCTGCACTCGTTCAGAAGCAGAAGAGACATTATAGCCATGTACAACCGCGCGACCTGTCATACGGGGAGCTGACGTGAAATGGGGAAGAGAAAGAGAACGTGACGCCACGGTAGTCCGAAAAGGTGCGTAATGTTGCGGCTTCAATTCTATTCTCCTACAACCAATTATATTGGACAGTCAAGCGCAACTTGCATGAGATTGGAATCCAGCTCCTTCCTCGGGAACTGCATTCGCAAATATTTCGCGACTTCTCTTTTCCAGGACCATCGAAAGTATTCGTTCGTATTACACAGAAGCAGATGATCTAGAAATGCGTGAACTGGACCCCAAACAAGGCTCTGTTCTTCCTGATGTCGGCTTCACCCTCCCACCCCTCCTGGGCTCAAATATCGATGAGCATTTCCATAGAATTGGCAGCCAGTCTGCATGGCTAAACATTGCGAACGATTTTGCGGCCAACGAACTTCCTCCATAAACCGATCATTGGGCCATTCAATCGAGATGGACGAAATATTACTTCCTTGTTGATGGTTTGAGCTACAGCGAGCATGTCCAGTTCCCACAGCACGAAGGGAATGCGGAAGAAGCGCTCGCACTTGACGTAGAAATCCGAGTCATGCCCACATATCATCCTTACGTGATCATGGCATGTGCTGCCTTAAAGAATGCCTGGTACAGTTGAATATCGCCCTGGTTGCTTGGGAATTGGTTGAGCAACAACACCTCGTTCTCTTGGTGGATACACTTCCCCGCGCATAGTCGTTGGTCACAACGTCTGCTACGACCGAGCGCGCATTCTGGAGGAGTACAGCTTACATGGAACTCAGTCCCGCTTCCTCGATATGATGGCTCTGCACGTTGCAGTGAAGGAATATTTTCCCATCAAAGACCAGCTTGGATGAAGCACTGCAAATCCAAGGAGACCCAGAAAGTGCGTCAGTGCTGAAGCAGTCGAGGCCGTCATGGAACTTATGTGTGATGTGGAGTTTAAACACGACCAGGAGGACGATGAAATCAAACGAGAACTGCGACGTCTCCGTGCTGATCTCGAGCAGAGCCTTCTGCAGCATGCCCATCGACTGTTCTCAATTCTTCCCCCCGACGTAAGAAGTCCATTCCTAAGGTACCCAAACCAAAGGTATTTTGGCCGAAGTGGTACTGGGATCTCGCAAAGCCCAAGAAAGACATGACTCCCTGCACGCTGGATGTCACAGTATGGAATCGCATTGGCCCCATTTTCCTTCGTTTGTCCTGGCAAGCCTAGCCACTCTTCTACTCCCGGGAACATGCCTTTTTTCTTAGCTTGATTTCTATGATCCTACGGATGACACCCTACAAGATATGCGCTTGAAGGGCGGTTTTGTCTTCTATCAATTACCGCATAAAGCTGGGGACTCGGAGAAGGCGAACGTGGGCAGTCCGCTCGGGAAAACGTTCATGGAATATGCACAAGATGGGACGCTCACGAGCCCTGGCGACGAGACGAAGGATGCATTGTACATGAACGCGCAGTGCAGCTATTGGGTGACCACATCTTAAATCAGATGCTAGTCTGGCAGCGGGGAGCGCTAGGTCTACACTTCGAACCACCTGAACCTTCGGACGAACCCCGGAAATGGGGTATCATCCTTCCTCAGGTGATTACAATGGGCACTGTGACGCGAGGACGTGGCTCACAGCGAGCAACGCGAAGAAAAACCGCGTTGGCTCAGAGCTCAAGGCCATGATGCGCGCACCCATGGGTATGTCATCGTCGGCGCGGATGTGGACTCAGAAGAGCTGTGGATTTTGAGCCGTATGAGCGACGCACAGTTTGTAATACACGGTGCCACGGCTCTTGGGTGGATGACTCTTGAAGGCACCAAAGCTGCAGGAACAGATCTTCATTCAAAGACAGCGAGCATTCTGGGCATCTCTCGTGACCAAGCAAAGGTGTTCAACTATTCCCAAACCTATGGTGCTGGGATGCGTCATGCGGTCCTCCTCCCTCTACAGTCCAATGCCGGTATGCTGCCCGATCAAGCTCAACGCCTCGCAGAAAATTTGTACGTGGCAAGAATACGCATCGCACGGATTTATTTGGAAGGAAATTCTGGTTTGGTGGAACGGAAAGCTTCGTATTTAACAAGCTGGAAGAGGTCGCGCTTTCTGATTAACCACGAACTCCAGCTTTCGGATACGAAATCACAGCTGCTCTATCAAAGGAGCTTCTTCCGGCAAATTTTGGTTCAGATTACATGTCATCACGCATAAACTGGGTCGTGCAGTCCTCTGGTGTCGACTACTTGCACCTTCTCATTGTCGCAATGGACCATCTGGTAGACAATATGATGTCAAGGCGCGTTATCTCATCTCGGTGCACAAAAAGTTACGCTACTTAGTTGCCGAAGAAGATCGCTATCGAGCTGCACTCGCGCTGCAGATCGCCAACCTATGGACACGGAGCCTTTTTGCCTTTAAGCTAGGGATGGATGACTTACCTCAATTGGGTCACGTTCTTCTCAGCCGTTGATATCTACAAGGTGATGATATGCCATGTGTCACACCTTCTCGTGCAGGCCCTATCCTCCCTGGAAAAAGTTTGGGCATCGCCGGCATTTGGATAAGACAAACAGCGCTTCAATGTTATGGAAGATGGACGCCCCATGATCGGACTCTCCGCCTTCCAAAGCGTCCGACCAGTATAACGAAGGCTATGGGCCTCCTAGCTGCCTTATTCACCGTGCTGAAAGCGCGGCTTGACTGCGAGCCCAAGCTACCTCTGAGTTCCCTGAAATTAAGCATCTTGCACAGCAGAGATCAGGACAGGCGATCGATACCAGGATCCGTGGCACCCAGAGTGGTAATGAAGGGAAAAAGCGCGGGCGTCCCGCGAAACACGCTTCCATGGAACTTGGTGACTGCCAGTGGGAGGCGATGCAAGCAGTGTTGACATCCTACACTGACATACCGACGCGATCATCCTCAAACGGATATCTTATCACTCATATAATATTAGAGTAACCTTATTCATGCGTGAGATCCGGTTCAACCACATTGCAGCGCAGAGACTTGTGAGTCTAGGGTCATCGATGATCAGTGGGTGAATAGATGCCATCGATAACAGTTATCACCTCTCAACATCCACCACAGTGCCTTCTCAACGTGTCCCGTGAGACCGCCATCAGCGCGCATTTCCCGACGCCTGCCTTTTATGGGTCAGCGGTTCCGCCCCATGGCCATAATTAGAATTCCCGCCAAAGATTCGGCGTCTATTCTCAAGTTCTTGTTCGAACTCACCATATCCAACGATGTTCGCTGTCCCGCCCATATCACTCGTGCGCAGCGATCCCCAATTAGTTCCCGACCCACGATGGGCGCGAGAAGTCTACAAGTAACTTCCCGAGGTTCCTTGGTGAGCTATAAAAGACACGCAGCATGACAGTCGAGTCACCCAGCGTACTGCGCATCTCCAGGTCTAATAACCCCCGCCTATATTCCTTCTGACTTGCCCAATCTCCCTGACTCCAATCTAACACGATGAACTACCAGATTGGCTTCCCTGCCTCCTCATCCCGTCACAGGTCCTGGGCTGTGCACAATGCACAATCTGGCTCCACTAGCCAGGCCTTCCAAGGCCATTGGTCTGCGCTCCCGGCATCGTCCCCATCCCCGATCCCCAATACGCCGCTTCTCCATCCAGTATCACTCCCACACCCCAATGCGGCCTCACACCAATCTCCTATGTCATGTATGCAATCCTTCTTTCGTTCACAATTTACGCAGATCTCACATCTATTGTTGTTAGACCAACATTCTTCCACGTCCCACTCTTCATTCATAGTTTTGCACTCGCTCTTAAGTCATGGTCCCAATTTGAGATTTAACATCACACGAGACCTAGCACATGTGCAACTGCGACCAGGCTGTCCGCCTACTATGCTTCAGGAGCTTGCGGTACAACCGCCAGTCTCTCATATGATCATAACTATCACTGAGCTTTCCGCTTGGACGATAGAGGTTGTGAACCCTCGTGGCGTCACTGTGAACAACGTCCTTGCCATGATACGTGAAATGTTCAACCGGAGTGTTGCTTCGCACGAGATGCAAAGATCTTCCCGCGTGGTCAATGCTGCTGTTGATTCTTTCAGGGCCAGATCCCGCGCTGACCCGCGGGAGCATGCGCAGGGGGTGAAACGCGTTGACTTTTTGGGTCCTAAAGTTTTCTTCTCTGGCCTTGCCAGAGCTCGAGATGGCACAGACAGCTGGGAAATTCACTTCGCCCAGAACGTTTGATCCTCGTCATGCGCGGGTCGCCTTGGCTGTTCCTTATCTTTCGGCACATTGCATCTGGGTATATCCAGCTCAGTTCCGATGGACTTTAGTCGGATCTCATCACTCAACACTGCCGGCTCTAACTTTACTTGGTAATTTGCCGTCACCGCTCACTTCTTCGCATCCATATTCGACAGCCCCTAATTTGTTTTATCGCTATCTTGCTCTATCTCTGTCCGCAATGTTTTTTTTTTGATTCATGTACCGGAATAGTTCGGATAAATTGCACTCATATACCAGGACACTTGTAATTTTATTTACCATGTTCACTCAATCTCCACCGCAATACAGTGTATTCATACTTGATATTCAACTTTGACGTTACTGGTGGAATGAAAAAATCTTGATTCGCCAGAGTTTGTCCGTTACCATTGACAGGTGATTGCGTCCATCATTCATCAGGGGCGCCGCTCGAACTTAACCTGACCATTTCGATGACACGTTCGCCTCCTGTCAGCACAGTAATGAGGTGAACAAATACTACAGCAATGACCCTCGAATTAAAAAACAAGTGGAAGCCGCGCACTTTTTGTGAGGTCATTCCATATCATATGTGGTCTGACCGTGATACCCTCCTTGTGGCTTCCTGTTGACATCAGCCCAATAGTAGCAACTTCAAATTAATTGATGCTACTAGCGCTACGCTCCATTGTATCAGGTGCTCAATATAAGGTTACATCCGTACTCGAAGTTCCGAAGCGGATATTTAACGACTTCATTTCTGATGGAATCCAGCCCCTGTCTTCCCCCGGGACACCCATGTTGACAATGATATCGAAGGGACTCGCTAGTCACTACCTAGTGAAAAAAATAACTTCACGTGACGTGATTCGTATTCGCGTCAGCGCGTTCGCGCCACCATGGTGCCATTTTCGACGTTTCAACCAACTTCCACCTTGTACAAACATACATCCCTACCTCGCCCACAAACCAGTAAAAATTATAAACATGTTTTTATCATTCAATCTTTTCATTGTACTCGCGCACGTCATACTGGCAGGTGCCCGGCGGTCTTCGAACAGATACCAAGATCTCGTGGCCAATTCGATACCTGCAGATCAACGGCACAACGAGACGCTCGCCACGAGAACAATCTTACAGGATAAGAAACCTCAGCATCGCTCTCGCAAAACAGGCGCGAAACAGGTCGCCCGCCTCCGAAGACGATCTCGCATGGCATCCGAGTCTAGTACCCCAGCCCGACATTCTCGAGCAAACGCTGCGCCGACGCCCCAGCCTACAGGTCCTTCGTCTGTCTCGACTACCGTGCATATAACCAGCGTGACTGATTTTGCACTTTTACTTCCTGCAACAAATGGAGGTGTGTCTCTCCTTTGTATTTTCATTGTACACTTGACCACGCTGTTCTCCCTTAGAGCTTATATCAGATGCTGAGAGTGACGCGGTGGCGTATTGTACCAATGGATCTGACTGCCAGAATACATTTCCAGCAGGCTTCGTTACTGGCGCCATTATCTCGGAGGCGAGCGATGGGTCCTATATACAGGTCAGTGGAGTTAAATTTAACTGTCTACCTCTTCCTCAGCACTAATGAACGGGCTAGATCACCGGCTGCTTGGACCCCGGCAAGTTCCACTTTGCGCAAGATGACGCAGGAGGTCAGATGGACGTCCGATTTCCCAACGGTGCGAAGTGCGCCTATGGGGGATACGGCGCAAGCTTCATTGAGCAGTTCGTTCTGTTTTTGCATCACTTCCAATTCACTCCTGACTGTTCACCAGGGTCGAGCCTTCTGCCAATCGTTTCTGCCTTCGTTGTTGCGCATCCGAAAATGATCAGGTCAACTGCAATTCACATAACGACAAAGCTGGCTGTCCTGTTGCTGTTCCTGGCACATATGACTTCGACGGAGTGAGCTGCTCCTAAGACGGAAACGTCATTAATCTATTTTCAACTATTTCATTCACATTTGTAGCCCAACTGACACTTCTACCAACATTTGCAATTCTATTCGCAATGTATCCCTATATGCCCAAGCCGTTACAGCCAGTATACAAAATCATAAAGAGGTCGTGTAATAAATTGATACATATGCCTGATGCCTAAGTATACTATAATCATGAAGTCCACAGAGATGCTAACGACGTCTATGCATACGCCGCGAGAGGTTTCTCAGGTATACGGGGATATCAAGAAGAAAACCAGAACCAGCCTCGGTTGCTGTCGATCGTAAAAGTTGAAAATCCCGGCCTCAAGCCCTGCCAAACACGAGTTTTCCGGAGCCGGCGCCGGGTCCATTCCTTTCCACTTCAATTCCGATCAAACGAGTCTTCCCATGCAGCCAATCCACTCGTCGGACTCCGCCTTCCCATCCACCTCCCAACCTGGTACACCGCTGTTCGTACGCTTGCGTAACTTTCCGTTGCGCCCTGCTTCCAGTACCGAGAGCCTCCCACTCCTGTGGCGTGACTCTTGTAAGAAGCGTCTCATATAATGAGTGAAGAAGGTCAAGATTGGTGATATCTGGGGAGCGTCCATTTCTGGACCCGACAACTACGGGCCACGGGAACTTATCTGATCGCAACAAGATACGGGATGATGCTGGAGTTGGCGGGTCTGTCGCTGGTTGTGATAACGTATGGGCATCGACAGGTGTATGCGTTGTACGGTCGAGAACCGTTCGCGGCGCAGGGGCAAACGTGACGTCGTAATTTATGGGCGCGGAGTGAAGTCGAGTAGAGGCAAAGAGTGGATGCATATGTAGTGCAGGTGCGCGTCTCCCATGTGGATCCATTCCCATATCTGTGCGCTGTTAGATAGCTAATCCCACACCTATTTTAAGAGGCTTACATGAGTTGGCCGATCCATTCGCAGGTGAGATATTACTTTGCCAAGTATGACGCTGTTGCATAGAAGGCCGTCTATCGTAGCTCGGAAGACCCGAAGAAGAACTCGAACTGGTGCGGGAAGATGTACCATAAGAGACGGGAGGCGCATAATTATACAAAGGATAATGCCCGACTTGACGTGGATGTCAATTTCAAATGCGCTCGTTGACCGCAGAAGATAGAAGACGTACGATGTTCGGACGACTTGTAGCTGGCACGCCTGTAGAGCGGGACCTTCTCAGCTGTCGACGGAGTACCGTATCTCATGTCTCTGGCAGCGTCAAACGTGGTATATCGCAGTGGAGATGGAGCAGTTGTGGCACCGAAGCTATTGCTTCGTTTTGTCTTTAAGCGTGAAGAGGAACTTGAACCAGCTGGTGGTCCATAGAAGAAGCTTGCAGGGTTAGAACGTGAGCGCGAGGACTTGTGGTCATGACTAGGAGATTGGCCTCCACCAAAGATGGAACGAAAGTAGGAGGTCATTATGACTTTTTGTTCGTGAAGTGAGTGAGAAGTGATAGACAAAGGTCGTTGCTCGAGGTACTGAACCAAGAGGATGTATGAAAGGCTCGGCAGGAAAAGTTTGTGTTCGGTCGGGCTCTTATAAGCGCACAGGCTAGCCGTTATGCCTGTATCGGATCAGCTGTGGGATCTAGACATATCCTAGCGAAAATACTTACATGAAGTAAGAGGACCCCTAGAAAAGCCGTGGACGTGGTATTGGATGACAAATATGGAATTCAATGCCGAGAGGAGATTGCAATAAAAGATCTGTCGTCCAAAAACGCATAGTGAAGTGAGTGCGGTGGATCAATGATCACGTCTTAGATGCTGTCCGGAAAGTCCGTGAGTAATGAAGCATGACCAATAGAGGGAATTTACAATATAACATGGCTTTGAGTCTTCTGGTGAGAAGTTTGAGTAAAGTTCGGAACGAGTAGGAACAGCTAGTGGCGACGCGGTTCAATATGCTATACTATCTCGATTGCAAATTCGAACCATGAGGTTTGATGTCAATCCGTGATTCCGTTCACGACATCCAGGACGCATGTAAGCCGCGTGTTTTCCTTTTATGGAAAGGGCGCGGCGGTACATCTTTATCGCTGTAGATAGCACAGTAGCCTATAGAGACTAGAAAAGGCATTTACCACCGGGGAGGAAAATTCGACATGTCCGGTGTAGTGCTTGCGCCAGAGTTACTCGGTCCGCCGAAAGATAGCAAAGGCAGCACGCTTCATGGCGCATGGTCACCCTAAATAGGTACAAGCGGCGCGCAAGAAGTCTTACCAAACCCGCCATGAACTGCAGTCGCGGCAAAGAACACGCCAAGCGTTCGCTTGAATCGCCAACCGAGAATCGGGTCTAGACCGTGTGGCGCTTAGGAAAAAGAGTAAGGAGAAAGAAAAGAGGGACAGGCCTCGTCGCTAAGGAGAAATGAATTCACCATGTTAGCGAAATGAACTATTTCCGGTTGGACGATCCAGTGTGATTACACCACAATGTTCCTTTCAAACTCGAGTTTCCTTGAGAGTGAAAGCCTGTAGGTGGCGGGCGCAGGTTGTATGAGCCAAAGAAGTATATTACTTTCTCTGCGCAGAAGTCAAAGGTATGCGCCCCATCAGGGGGCAGGAGAACAGGAGGAGCAAACAGAAACAAGATTAAACTTTTGAGGTCTTGATGTCTACTTGGAATATCCCACAGGTTGGCCACAGGGTCCGAGACTCCGAGATCGGTAGTTGATGAGTAGAAATCAACAGACTGGCAGAATAAACGTGCTAATCAAGCATACCTCTGGCAGTAACATGACCGTCAATATGAAGCAGTTCCTGGAAATACCTGTGCAGAATCAGCTACATACAAAAGTGCGACGCAGCAATATATTACGAGATTGTTAGTTATAGTTACCATATGGTGCTGTACTGACAGTGTTAATAGATCTTATGAAACTTGTCACTGTTTGGATCAGAAGCCTTTGCCAAACACGCCTGTTTAATGTTTAGTCATTTTGTCAGTTGGACATTGACCAACATATGTTGACCTACAATTTGCGGCCCGAATATTCAAAAACTGATAAGCCCTGCAGACGCATAACATGCGGAGCTTTATCTCTAGGTTGAGACACCAGAGACGTGGCAGCAAGACCGAATCAGGACCTGGTCTTCAAGAAGCACTACAAGAAAGCCGTCAGCAATACCTTTACCGATATCGCAAGCAACGCGGAGTTAATCTTGGTAAGCTCAAATTGAATCCATTATCCGAGTCAAAGCGAGCTAAGCGTGATTCAGGATCGTGGTTCGTTTTAGAGCGGTGGTTATCAGAATCACCATTTCAAAGCACCGCCGGCAGCGGACAAAGTGATCTGGACGTTGCCAAGGGTCTACGTGCGAAGCAAGTTCTAGAGCAACATTGGGATTCTTGGATCACCTCCAGCGATTTTGAATCGCTCGCGGCAAGGGGAATCAACACTGTGCGGATCCCAGTGCGCACACTTTCTTGTAATAGTACAACAGCATCATCTCATGCTGCCTTGAACAGATCGGATATTATCATATCTGTGCACTGGACCCGTCTATCCTTACTCGAACTGACTTCGATGGTCTTCAACATGTTTTTGAAGGAGCATGGAGCAGACTTGTTGCCGCGGTGATCACTGCCCAGAGCTTTGGAATTGGGGTGCTATTTGGTGTGTCGTTCGTTAAGTGGACATATTTTATTTCTCACTTGCAAATTTCAGACCTTCACGCGGCTCCTGGTAAACAGAATAAAGATTCGCATTCAGGAACGTCATCCCCGGTAGTATCGTTTTTCAACAGCAAATTTTAACATGCAGCTGGCCATTCGCGCTCTCCGCGTCCTGGTCACACAACTTATCGCTTTGCGGGCACATGAACCCGAATTCGACAATATAGTCGGTGTACAGCTTCTCAACGAACCTCAACCCTCTTCACACGAAGCACTCTACGATTGGTACAAGGAGGCAATCCAAGAGATAAGAAATATAGACTCTGGTTTCCCAATCTACATATCAGATTGCTGGATGACTGATCAATATGCCGATTTCATCGCACGCTTACCGTCTTCCTTGGCGCTGACTTGCATCGACCATCATCTGTACCGGTGTTTCACGTGGAGCGACATCTCAACATCAGCAGCGCAGCATACTGCGTCCCTTACTGATCGGAATGCCCCATTTCCGCAAATGTTCTCCCGCGTTTCAGAGAAGCTCGCAGAATCAGGAAGTGGGCTCATAGTTGGCGAGTGGTCTGGAGCTTTGAATCCAGGCTCTCTACAAGGTACAGCGGATGAACATCAGGAAAGAGCATCTTACATTCGAGCTCAACTTGACCTGTTCGAGCTGTACTGTGCTGGATCATTCTTTTGGACATACAAAAAAGAGTTGCCTGGAGATCAAGGATGGTCTTTCCGAGACGCAGTTGAAAATGGTGTCTTTCCCGAAGTCGTGGGCATGGTTCCAGTAGAGGATTATGTTGGACTCAGTGCCAACATAAACGCTAGAAAGGTGACCGCTAGAAATGTAGCCTTGGGTGAGTTCAGCGATTCCACAGCCGCCACATTGTCCCTAATTTTGTTTTTCAAGGCCAACATGTATCTTACTGGGCCCGTTTTCCTAGTTATTATGAGCATTGGCGTTTTGAAGCCGGCTTCGATCAGGGGTGGGTCGCGGCTTATGACTTCTTCACCTTCGATCGCGCGGGCCAGCCCACCGTCTCAGAACTGGGATTCAAGGGCTGCATTGCGAAGAGGAAGGCGCAGGACCATATTCGTGAAAACGGGCGCAGCAGCAACATTTGGGAGTTCGGTGAGTGTACTATTCAAGGTGGTTTCCTCTTCTGGCTTTTGCCGCTTCTCGGCCGGTAGCACGACATACCCGCTATCTCGATACGTCCATCTGTGATATCGCAGATTGAGTGGCTCTATTCCTAACATATTTCAGAGCATGGATTTAGGCAAGGGGTAGATGCTGCGAAGCACGATTTTCAGCATCACTACTGTTGATTTTCACGTGTCAGGTGTAAGATCTCCATGGTATGTTGCCTCGCCTAATAGGGACTTTAGCTTTTAACGATTTGCTTCTAGAACAGACAATCCATATCTTTGCATGCCCATGTCCTCGTGTATGATAATGTCGACATATTCAATTGCTGTTAATCATCGCAGACGTAAAGATCTTCTGAAGTGGACACAGCTAGTGGCCTGGCTTGGATGAGTTCTTGCCCCTTTATGTTAACCTGCGATGCAGCTGTCAAGGAAAGTGCTGGAAGAACTTAGAAGACGTGCTCCATCAGACCGTAGCTTCTTCCTGTTCCTCTAGTTCTGCATCCAGTCTATCGCGCCCCTTCAACGAGGACGAGCGCGGTAATTACAAGCTTCCGTGAGTGCTCCTATCCCCACAAGAATGCGAACGTTTTCTCCTTCAAGTCATAACATATTCGAATCTCTTTGTCGTCACACCGTAACCTGCAACACGACCGCTGTGATCTCCGAGGAGATATTTCCCTTACTTGGACGAATTACGATTTGTCTTTTTTAAATACTGGGACGGGAAAACACCACAACCAGCACTGCAGTCTGCAGCTTACTCATTAAGGTTGAGAACGGATATCTAATGTCAGCGTCGGTGATCATGACAAGCATAGCATTCTTGTGCGAGACTCGTGGTGCTGGACCTGACAGTTACCGCTAAGGTAAGGATATCGATCATTGGTCGATAGTGTTGTGATGACCCTGATATCACTAGTACGGTGCGTAGATGAATAACCCCGATATGAAACCATATTGTCACCCACTAGTAACGCACGGATATGCCACATTAACAGGAGGCTTAACTACACCCAACATTGAACGTTAACTTAGTAACATCTTCTCGCGGTAACTTGCCTGTTTTTCATTCTCTCAGCGTTATTTTGAATTAGAGTTAGAAACAGGAACAGGGGGTCTGCGGCCACGACATGAGCCTCATTAAATTCACCCATGTGTTGTGCCTACGCCAGACATATAGCGTGCTGAATTTCATATGTGCCTGTGGTACCCCACATATGATACTTTGTCTTAACTTTGTCCACCGGTCAGGCACAACACGTTCCAAGGTTCACAACAAGATTCATTCTGTCTTCATCTTCCCTACATGTACAGGTATGTAACGAAGCAAAGCTCGAGTCAAACCGTAATCCCAATAAGTTTACAAATGTCTCGATCACAACCGTCAAACATAGATGTATGGCAATTTTAGAAAAGTTGGGCCTTGAGTCAGGGTATATGTGGGATAGTTACAACATAGATCGTAGCGGGGAACCAAGGCAATAGAGTACAAAGAATGTTTATGTCAGATTTAGCACAAAGAGAGGGGGTTACAAGGGCAGGCAACTTTCACGTCAACAACTTCCAATGACAGAAACCATCTTCATCCGGAGCTCTGACAAGTCCCCTGAAGCAATGTCTTTCCATCAAATAGTCAACTCGTTTGACTCCTTGACTTGCTTCGAGCTGAGCAGATGAAGGGATGCTTCTGTATCTGCGGGTATATGCCCGTGCAATTGCAGTTTCTTCACTCTGACTTAGCTGGGCCCAGTCAGAGTGAGAAATTTGGCGATGCAAGGACGAATGGATCATCCACAAAACATCGCCAACAGTTATGGGCAGAGCGCCCGAGATATCGTACTCGCCATGAACGAGTTCCAAGTCGATAGGCCATTGAGGAATGGCATCATGCGTCATACGCATGCGAGTAATGGTTGGGAATGTAGCAGGTTCCCTTAGCTCTTCAACAGACACCATAGCCGTGTGGTTTGGACCAACTCTGCGCAATGGCGCGAAAGCTGGATTAGCAATGTCGAAGTAGAATTCCGATACATAAGCTTCTCCGTTAAGAAGCGGGTGAATCTGGTAGTGCTGCGACGACATCTGGTATGGCCAAGGAGGGCGATTGGCATGGCCAAAGGAATGCCGCCGGTTGTTGGTCGGCGGCAATGGAACCCCCAAAAAGGAAGGACTGGGAGGTGCTGCGGCCATCCCTCCATGCCAAGACGGAGGGCGACGGCGACGGTATCCATCAGGATAGTAAGAAGTGTGCGGGGTTCCAGGAAGTTCGACGTAAGGTGAAGAGGGAGAAGGTGGAAATAAATTAGAGGGAGGAATGAAAGGTGATCGTTGGGGTGTGTGCGGGTGGGTATAATATGGAGGAGGCTCGTAGATCGGTTGTGTGTAAACGTATGGCCCAGACATTGTTGCAATATTGAGGTTAAGACGAAAAGATGTTGGGAGACCTCCGCTATTTATTCGATGATAATGGTCAGCTCGGGCCCAGTGCCATATTAAGCACAGCCTCCATACCTATGTTATGACTCTGTGTATGACTTGTCTTCGGGAAAGCGACAGGCCACTGGTTCAGGATGCACAGACTATGAGCGTCGACACAGCTTCAGTGCTTGCCAGAAGACTTGAGGGAACTGCGAGACTTTCGATCTGGCCAGGCCCCAGTGGTACTTTTGAAGGCTATCTGTAAATTGCAACTTGGTAACCAATTACAAAAAGTTTAGAAATCTGCTCACTGGCTTCCTGTCGTGGTCAGGCGGCTGGTGGGATGATCAACGTTCTGAGTAAGATGGGATTGAATCGCACCGGTAGAAATGTCATCTGCGCGCTCTTTGTCAGCGTAAGCGCCTGACTAGAATTTCAGAATCCGAGCCAAGAGAACGATTGTTTCTCATCATCAGCGTTCAGCGCTCGATTACGGTGATCAATTGAATCGTCGCGGATCATCGACATCGATCATCGATGATCATCCAATCATCCCACTCCCAGTTGCATTTCTGGCTATGTCACGGTAGGCAGTGCTAGCGTTGAAACGTTGATAGATTCATGGCCGTGCCTGATGGATTGGTAACCTTACTTTATTTCTTCAGTGCATTTGTTGTTCAATAAGCGCTAGGCGCTTATAAGCGATGGGAAATAAACTGTCAGAGTGAGTTATTGGTTCATTTAATTACTATACCTGAAGTTGTTCGGCAAGATGTCAGAGTAAACTGAGTCTGATTGTGTACCGAGCCGCCGAAGTGCAAAGATCACAAGCAAATATCGAGATATCGAGTATGAGACTACTGGAATCTTCGAATTCAGAAGGATCGATCACCTGCAAATTGAGGTGGACAGCAGTGTGTCGGTGACTTGTGGCTCCGACTGATTCCACTTGCGGGTACTATCGGTCACCTGCCGTTGCTGCCGACGTCGGACATTTAAATTTACATAACAATGTGCCGGTGAGCGCCAAGCGCTAAGCTGGGCTCCTCGTGATTCGTCATGCCATGCCACGCAGCCATGGTGGCAGCGACGGCGGCCCGCTCGAGGCAAGCTGGTGTGGTCTAATGACCCAGAGTAAGTATGAGTTCAGGATCCAGGCTGCGCTTGCGGATGCGGTCGCAAATGACATCTACAAGAATATTTCGGTGGCCATCTTTGCGGTTGAGTTCCAGTGTCGATCTCGTGCCTGCAGAGTAGAGCAAGTGGGACCAAGTGGAGCCTCGGGTAATCTAGCTAATGTCGGCAAAGGTCATATGTATCTCTATCTCCATCTCGCACATGAACTCGGACTCCGAATAGGTGTAAATCGTCGAGCAGGATTGAGCAGAACTTCGTGGCCCATTCCTCTCGTTGAGCCAGATGCATACTCTCTATGAGCAGACCGTTGCGCAAGTTCTTGCAGTTAGCATTGGGAAACTTGCTACTTCTTCATTTTACGCAGTACCAGGAATATGCTTATTAACATAACACTACTGCCTGTGCGAAGATAGTAGTCTCTGTTTCTTTGAAATGCGCAGTGCATTACAATGGTATGTACCATTAATCATAAGAGCATGTATCTATGAGGCTAATTTACATCGGCAGGATCGGATTATCAAAAGGACGATTATCATTGGACATTTTTGAGTAGCCAAGTCTCTTCTTGCTCCTTCGAACCTGGCACCCCTGAGGACCTCAGGAAGTGGTTTGAACTTTGTGTTACCGAACTGAAGACCTTCCCTTATACAACAGCTCCAAATATTGGGAGACACCAGGACGTTGGTTGGAGTGAGCTATGACTTTTTCAACTCGTATTTTTTCTTACATACCCGCACAACTATCAACCGTATTAAAACCGGTGGTTACGCAACCAACCTTGGCTTTTCGTCGACCCAAGGCATTCAAATTGCGATGTATTCGTTCTCAGACATCACATTTCACTCTGATCTCAGAAGTTGACATTCGATATGGGATGACATCTATTCAACGTTGGAAGAATACGGCGCGAATTTGTGGGGCCGAAAGTCACTGGCATAGGAATTGGCAACATCGTAGAGGTATGAACGTCGACAGATATTCCAAACGTGCCAATATAACGTTTTGTCATCTTATTTGGATATTCGCATCTGACACGCGAACCAGTATGGACTGACAATTGACAACGTCGTTGCATAAGAACTTGTTTTGCCTAATAGCACAATCAACAACTCCGAGTCCAGCAACCCAGATTTATTCTTCGGCTTGCGGGTGAGTTTTGACATTTATATTATCAAGGTTTTGAATTCTCAAGGTCGGGTGGACGATTGGTCCACGGTGTATGATACAGCACCGTAACAATTATAAACAGGGTGGTCGTGCGTATTGTTCTACGATGCGGGTATCTTCGATGTTTCCTGGCGATATTTCTGCCCGGTCCTTTGTGTCCTGGGTCCAAGTTGTCTCGTCGAATGGTACTCTGGCCCTCGGTGATTATTTTTTTGGGGGTTGGGTTATACTTACTGCTGTGTTCAGTTCCATAGCGATGGAGAAGTTGATGGAGTCCTTGTTGAGCATTATTCCCAATGAGACCCTCGTGAGCACTCGTATGTTTTATTTAGATTGTCTACTGATGTGAGCGGCTAGTTCTACGGCGACAAGCTGTCAAATACCAGCATGCGTACTATCTGTTACGAGGTGAACTCCTGACCTTAATGCTATTTACAGCCACACTGATGTCACATATGCGCATCCGGATTCACGTAGAGGATACTCATACCTGGAGCTATACTTACGCATGGGTGAATCCCGACGACGTTCCCATATGCGAGATCATTACTGCCAATTCCAAACATCTGCAACAAGCAGCAATTACGGCTGGGCAAGATGTCGGAAATGTGGTCATGTATCCCAACCATGCATCTCCTTTTACATCTTTAGAGGACATCTATGGAGAAAATCTTGTCCATCTACGGGATATCAAGAAGGCTGTTGATCAAGACACCGTGATAAGGATTTCTGGAGGATGGGAACTGTAGATCATCAGAATTGCACGGTACAAACTATGGGTAACCATCCAGAAATTCGATTTCATACATATCATATCAATACATTGGCCAATCGAAACAGAATTAAAAGTGGATATGCGGAAGCAATATCATACAAAGGTGTGTCCTGCAGATGGGTAGCTCAAAATAAAGTATAAGACAATTCCGTGGATGACTGACAAGCAAGTTTGGTATCTTCATTTTATCTGACTCACTCGTTTCGCGCATTTCAAAGTCCAGTTCGCGACTGCCCGTTGCCGAGCGTATACAAATGCCTGGACTCTGCGACCAAGTCGATGGGTGCTGTGCTGTGTTAGTAAGTTCTGCGGGGCAAAAATATGAATACGCACAAGCTCCGTGGTTTCAGGACAATCCTCATTGAGTATGCATCTTCACCATCACCATCTGATTGGATGGTCAATGATAGTAGCCGGAGGACCCAAGTGACCAACTCACAGTATCCGGCCTCTTTCCTGTGGATCTTGAAGCCAAGTTTCTCGCTGTACAGACTGAAGGCGGCTCGATTGGACTTGCGTACGTGGAGCTGAACGTACTCTATGTTGTATGATTCGATCATGGCCTTTTCTGGAGGAAGTTTAGATTAATGTTTTGCACTAAATCGGATGGCGTAACTCGAAAGCAGCATTAATCGCTTCGCAAGACCTAGCCTACGGTATGTTCGGAGCACGGATAGAGAGTTGACATGACCAACTTGCAACCAAGGGTATTCTTCATCTGGCTCTCTGTAGGGGGTGATTGAATTAGTCGTAAACACATGTGCGCAACCTTCACCCACATCGACGAGAGCACATAGCCCACTACACGCCCACTGCTGTCCTCTGCGAGATACGAAATTTCTGGCCATGTTATAAAGGAATAGGCCCCTACAAATCTGGCGATGGGAATGGCGTTTTCACTGAACCAAAGGAGACCCACAAAATTTCATGTGGTAGTTCTCAGGGAGATTGTGCAAGTTGCATTGCTGTATCTTGGTGAGATCCTTCGGCTAAGCGCCGCACGTTTGAGTTATGGAACAGTGTTGAATGCAATGCTCAGTTTGCGTGGAATCAAAGCAGAAAATTAAGCGCACCTCTGCTCTTCGAATGTTCATCTAGAGTTTGGAAAGTATGAGGTATGTTGCAAGACGCTAACGTAGGAGCCCTGTATGAGGCGGTGGAGCACGTGTTTTGGTGCGGCAGGCTGTGAACAGGTGTTTACAAAGCTTAGCGCCTGTAATCGTAACCCCACTAACGCAAGCACCTTCATTGTCGGCGTTCATTTCCATTGTTGAAGTTTAAGGTTTGCGTGTTGAGCGCTTTCGGATTATTACCTAATACATAAGTACTTGCCATCCGACTCTGAGGAGAGAACGGCAGACAGGATCCAAACCATCACTAGTGTGGTTCTCAGCACTTCGTGCATGAGGACGACATCATCAAGTTTACTATGCTGACCCCGGTCACGGTAAGTTGGATGAATCGAAGCAAGGAATCTGGCGGCACGACACGTCTCATCTTTTGAATCCTCAGTCACTGGGCCTACCGCCACTGTGAGAGTCGTCTTGGAGATTGAGAAAATTACGCTTGTATAGACAAATGCGTAGGCTACTGCCCGTTTGACGTTGTCGTACAACACCGTCACAACAGAGGTGGGTAAATGGTACGTAAGAAAATGATTTTATTCAAGTCTAAAAAATGACAACCCATTGTTTGCTGGTAAGATCGCCTGTCCCATCGGGTGTAATCTCCATTTATAGGCCAGGAATAGCTTGAAATCTTCATGCATAAGTATACCTATACCTTCACATTCCTGCGCTGCACTGGAGGCCCCCACTGTAGTTTAATACGCAAATATTGCGCCACCCAGGTGAGTGCAAGAAGGACAGGAACCTCTACTAATGGCCCAATGGTCGCTGCCAACGCCTGATCTGATCCCACTCCATACACAGCGATTGCTACTGCAATCGCAAGCTCCTACGCAATTCACTTGTTTAGTACATCATTCAATATTCAATAAAGCGACCTGGGAACACGCACGAAATTGTTGCTTCCTGCAGTGAAAGCCTGCACCACTGCCAGCTCATACGAGAAATCACCACTGTCCGTGTTCTTTTTGCGAAATTCTCGGCGAGCGAGAAAGAACACAAGCGCAAAGGCTGACGTCCACATGATCACAAAATATAGGATCATTGGTACAAAGACCCGGAAAACAGGACCGAGATTCTGTACAATGTGGTGTCCTTGGTATGCAAACATAACGATGATGGTATACAGGAGACCGATGAGGGAGAGGGGAGAAAATCGTGGTGCAAAAGTCTTGTCAAAGAATTCCTTCGACTTCAGTCGAATGACTGTGAAGCGTGTGATGACACCAGCAAGGAGAGGAATTCCAAGGTACTGTTAAATCGTTAATACAATAATAGTTCTGATATTCAGGAAACTCACGATGAGAACTGAGATTGCCACCGAACCGTATGCGAGATGAACACCCTGCTCGGTGTGTCCAACGACGTTCACAAACAAAACCGCGTAGGGTGAGTAGAGTATGATTTGGAGCACCGAGTTAACAACGACAAGAATTGCGCAGTATTCGCCGTCCCCCCCGGCCAACTGATTCCATACCATAACCATGGCAATGCAACGAGCGAGCCCGACGAGGATCACGCCTGTCCTGTACGTCGGGAGGTCGGGGAGCGTAGCCCATGCAAGACCGAGCATAATAAGGGGGCCGATGATCCAGTTCAGAATCATGCTTATTCCCATATGCATCCACAAACGTCTGGACAACAATATTCGTGAAAGGGCTTCATATTTGACCTTGGTGAGGATAGGCCACATCATAACAATGAGCCCTATTGCGATCGCTTGAATCCTGTGAGTATGATTCATAAAGTGCTGAACATAAGTGCTTACGGACGGAGACACTGTCGAATTTGACAGTATCGAACGCCTGCTGCACGCCAGGTACAAATTCGCCTATGACTACCCCGACGACCATGCATACCAATATGGCCGGCGTGAGCAAGCGGTCTAGTATACTGAGCTTCTGAAATAGAGCTATACTGCTGTCAAAAGAGGGGCAAGATGGTTTCTCAATAAAACTACTCCACCTTGGGGTGCCGCTAGATCATGATGACCATTCTCCGACGTCGTGTGGTCTGTCAGGGACTCGGTTGGCCTCGAGGGTTGCTCGTTCGATTTCTTGACGACACTTTCCTCTTTTTCCATGTTGGTTCAGCTTGAAAGAAGGGTTGAGGATAGATGAGAGAGACTTAACCAACTTTTGAGCGTTCTCGATTTTGAATATCGTTTGAATATCGACTCTACTGACAGACTTTGAATTTATCCTTTTTTGAGATTCACAGCCGAGCTTCTGCCAAATTACCCAAGTCCAATTGGTCGATACGTGGGAATTCCCTCTGTCTGACCTCCTAATACAGCCCACGTTAATGGCAGAATGTTTTGTGCACTGCAAGTTTTTGTAGAAATTCCTGTGAGAGTACTTTCTATGATTTTGATTTCGACTTTGATTTTGATGTTGACTTGGCACTGGATTAGTCAGGTATGCTATATATATTAAGGTGATTTACGAACGGTCATCCCCAGAACTAAGCACTATGCTTACTGGAACAGTACCACCCACTGACAAAGGGGTTGTCAGCGCAGTATGCGATGCTTACAGCTTCATTGCGAGGGAAGGCGCACACACAGCATGTAAGTGCTCGATCACCATGTGGTCTAAATGCATCGTCTCAATGTAAATTAGATGCTGAAGCAGTTGCGGAGGCATTCGGATACACCGTGGAACAGCTGAGGTCCATCCCAGCAGAATCCCACATGGGACTCAGCTGTGGAAATCCCGTGGCCGTGGCGTCTGTCAAAGAGGTACATTGTTCGAGAATAAGTCTATTCACGTTTAATCGTGATCATAGGGAGAAACTGTCCTTGACTTGGGCTCTGGTGCTGGCATCGATGTCTTCCTTGCAGCCCAGAAAGTCGGTCCCAAGGGGCAGGCCATCGGTATGGACATCTCAACAGTGTGTGTTGTTCGAGTTGTGCCTTCACACAATGACAATCAGAGTAGGATATGGTTAATCGAGCGCGTAAGAATGCCTTCAAGCAAGGGTATAGACCGCCTCAGGTAGTCTTTATCCAGACGGAGCTGACACAGCCCCTACCTGTGGCAACCGCCTCCGTGGATTGCATTTTGTCTAACTGTGTAATTAATTTGCTTCCTGACGCAGGGAAGGCAGCTCTCTTGAAAGAGTGTTATAGGATCCTCAAACCTGGTGGACGTCTTGTGGTTAACGATGTGAGCCTCTAGCGCGGCGCGGTTGGTCTGGGTGATCCTGAATTTTGAGTGTAGATCATCGCGAAGAAGCTGCTTCCGGATACCATCCGGTCTGACCTTTCGGCCTACATCGGATGCATATCTGGAGCGCTTCAGTTAGAGCAATACAGAGCTCTTACAAAGCTTGCTGGGTTCACAGGTGAGTTCTAGTGTATACAGTAAATAGTTGTGGCCAATCGGCTATCATATAGATGCATTGTTTGTCGAGACCGGCGGGGATCTCGAGGTCTATAAATCTGCTGGACCCGCATGCAGTGGCGCACCTTCAACTAGTCCCTCAACTAAATGTTGTGCGGTCACTATCAGCACTCTCCCTGAGACTACCATCGGGAACCTCAACGAATGGGCTGGTAGGAAAATAATTATACCAAAAGGAAGATATCGCAAACTAATTTACAAAAGCTTCATACCAGATATACGCAAAGAAAATCTCCTCAGATAATGGAGCTGCGAACAAGTCGCCTCCAGCACTTGATCGATGGTGGGATGCATATCCGAAAGACTATTTAACTTCCGGTGAAGTTGCAAGTCTGCTTCGCGACCCTGATCGTTCAGACTATGCTATTATTGACGTTCGGGAGAATGATCGCGTTGTAAGTCGAAGACAGTGCGTTGGGTGGGCCGACTGATGTTGAATGACTACAGGGTGGTCATGTTCTGGGAAGCATTCAGTGGCGAGCAGACGCGTTCGCTGTTTCACTCGACAAGTTTTACGATAAGTACGGCAAGACGAAGCAGGTGATTTTTTACTGTGGGAGCTCTAGAGGACGGGGATCTCGATGTGCTGCTTGGTGAGTAGTACCTGTGCGGTGTCTGTCTTGCTAAAAGCAACTTCAGGTATCAAGATTATCTAAACGGTGAAGGTAATACGGAGTCGAAAGCCTATGTTCTAGAAGGTGGATACTACGGATGGAGATATCCTGACCTGATGGATGGAGCAAGCAGTCTGTGAAAGGCTATATACATGTACGGAATACAGGGTTTCAGTACTAACTTAGTATTGATAAGTGAAGTAAGACACATTCCCTGCAGATAGCATCTCAGTCCAAGAGTGTCGAGGACCCTTGCCCTTGTGACACTACAGGTGATTTATACGATATGTAAATGTGACCATAAACCTGTATTCGGTTCTGCAGAAAGGACAAATACCGGTCAATGACACAACCATGTATCGTACTATGTATAACAGCAACGTTGACCCGCCACTGACTAAGATAAGGAAAAGATCAACTCAAGACGATGTTATCTCCAAGTGTCTCGGGGGCGCAATACCACCGACCATAAGTCCAGCGTTTTGAAATGTCTGCTGGCAAATAGGAATTTGGAATTGGAACATAAAGGAACTTCCATTTCGAGATAGTGTGATCGACTTCGAGGGAGTGGTTCCGACGTGGTGATGTGACTTCGGCGAGCACTAGGTTCATCAAGTCAGGGCTTGACTTTCATTACCGTGATGAGTCAACTGACCATTTTAAAAATACCCATTTGAATGAGGCATTCCTCGTGCTGTGACTTCTTACAAGGGAGGACTATGCCCACCGTTCACCCGAACGATCCTTCCTCGGGGCTACATATTGCGCACAAGAGATGCGCAGCAGGGAAAAAAGGGAGGAGACATGATACTCAATTCGGATCGCACGACAGATGATTATCGATCGCCTGATATGATCGTCTCCCATACGACATGTAGGCGCTAATTAATGGAACGAACCAGGATTACCGAACAATCAGGCCATCTATGATTAATCTCCTTTTGAGCGCGAGAGTGGATGCAGGAGTGCATCAGGTAGCGCGCCGACCGCGAGATGATGGTATGGGGCGAGACCACCGAAAAGCCACGGATAGGGTGTATTGGCAATCATTTTGAATAGAGCGCAGGCGCAGCTCGGACATCGTTCAATTTACAGCGATCGTCGAAAAACGTTTCTCGTTGAAGGGCTTGAGTTTCTAGAAATAGGACCAAATCAGATCTTCATAACACGTTTTACGTCCACGAAGGTGCACTCGATCCGGTAAGTGAAGGCGCGCCAGCAAAACTCTCGTGAGCGACACGTCAAATAATGCGGTCACCCGACTGTATGTGGTGATGAAAGAAGGGAAATGACGTTTTCGGGAACGTTAAGTGTCAGCGCCACGAGTGGTGTTCTCTGTGCTCGGAACTAGACAAGGTGAAGTCGGTGTAATTTTCATACGGATTTCCAATGCCAACGTGCCAAGGGGAAGAAAACTGGTCGAAAGAACCCAAAAGAGAGGAGCATCCAGGCGATAGCTCAGAGAGCCCACCGACATGTATGATCGCAAGAAGTATGAAGGTTCGATGACCAGGGTGGGGCGAAGAGAAGGCGTTTCTGGAGCAGTACTGCCAATGGGGCTGTTGACAGTTGCAGGGAAGGTTAAATATTCTTGACACCACAGTGCGTGCATGCAATGAGGCGAGCCACATTTCTGGGCTATTTCCACTGTTTCCGCAGTGGCCACGAGGCAGTCTTGAGAGCTGCGACTGAAACCAGTGACATCAGACTACCGGAGCTAATCAGCCATGTGTCTGATGAGTGCCCTCTTTCAAATGATGCGGGCTAAAGTTCTGCCTTGACATGGAAAGTTTGGACCCGATTAACGTCCTCGGTCTTATAAATTTTGTTTGCATTTCATCCTGGAATTTTTTGATAATAAATCAGGGCTTCTCGTTAGTGCTTATGTCTTATATTGCGTGGTTTGTAGATGTGACGGCTGTACCCTGGCCAGTGTTATTGCATAAGAAGGGCCTCGGCGTGTGCGGGCGAGAATGTTGAACGTTAAAGCGTTCACGGTTAGTCGTTGGGTTAGCGAATAGTTTATCTGGCAGGATGCTGGTCAGGTGGGAACAAGAATCAAATAAAATACCCACTTCGCATCTCCTGCCAATCACGGAATAAAGCACACTGACAGCGTGCTTGTCAGCACTAGACGCTCTAGGTCCGTCTCTTAGTTCCCACTAACAATTCATCAGAAAGCTTTACTTTTTGTCGTCTTGTCCCCTTTTCAGCACCATCATAAGCTCTTTACCAGCGATATGCCTGCAATTCGTGAACATGATATTTACCCCTAACGATTTGGAAGATGACGGTGAGCTTTCCTTTGCAATCATGTTCAATGTCATTATACTCATGCTAATGAATGCAGATGGGATGCCCCCACTCGTCGACAATCCAAACACATCAATGTCATTTACTTTTTTCACTGATATGACACCCATTACTGCTTTCAGTGCTGATCCGACTGCTCTCTCTGAGAATGCATGGGACAACCCAGCGTCCACATCTCCTGTGGAGTTTACAGACTCGCTTGACTATCCTGCAACCCAGACCGCTGATCGCGTCTCTCATGGCAAGAAACGGGACGCTTCGTACATCCCACGCCCACCCAACGCTTTCATCCTCTTCAGATCGTCCTTCATTCGGAGCCAACAAGTTCCGGAGAAGGTGGAGGGGAATCATAGCACCCTGTCAAAGATTATTGGTCCGTCCGTGGTCAACGGATCTGTTCGTTACTGATGTGTTTACATATAGGCAAATACTGGAAAACTCTTCCTCGCGAGGAAAGAGAAGTCTGGGAGGCCAAGGCACTCGTTGCTCAGGCGGAACATAGAAAACGCTATCCAGACTGGCGTTTTAGACCTGGGGCTAACGCGCTTGCGAAGCTCAAGGTTAAGGATGGTCCCGGAATAGCCAACAGAAGACGAAGCACCCAGAGTACCAAGAAGGGCCGCGGAAATGCCGAATCGAAGAAGAAGAATAAGAGTAAAGATGAAAGGTGTTCGATGATTGCGGATCTTCTGGTGGAAGGCAAGACGGGCGCCGAACTGGAAAGTGCGCTTAGAAATTGGGAGAACGGAATGAGTAGGGAGGTTGAGGTGGGTAAAGGTGCTGTTGGCAGGGATGGTGAACACGATCATGAGGGAAGTGATGAGGGCAATTGGGTCGAAGCCTTTCCGACCACCAATCACTTTCAGATGGAGTCAGTCCAATTCTCGCAAGACCTCTACAATAACGGTCACGTCACTCAGGTAAATACCGATGGCTGCGATCATTCCGCCACGGGCCAACCTCGCTGCAAGACTCCACATGACGATCGATTCAAAGTACCTCTTACTGCGATGTTCAAGCGTTCTCTGTCCGCACCTGCGAGGCGCTTCGCATCTCCTGCAGATGTTGTAGGCCACAGCCGCAACGACTCTCTAACCAGTAACTTGACTGATGTCTTATCCGATACTGCAAGTTCTCCTGCCAGCGTTTGTGCCCCTTCCGCTTTTCCCTCAGAGCAATATGAAGACCCATCGGTCGCCGTTTACGGCGATTCTATGGGTCACTTATCGCCTCTTGTTCTGCCGTCAGGACTAGGCAATGATTCCCCTGCACGTTGGAATGACGTGAGTTCTATCACAATTCTCTTCTCCATTGTCTGTGCTAATTTTATATCTTTGGCAGCCATACAATCTCCTCGGAACTCAATCGCCCGTCGGGTCGTTATCAGACTGCCCTGATCTGTCATACGGACATAGTCCCTCCGTGTCACCAGTCGACGTGAGCTTTGGGAATTATACGTTCCCTTCGCCGACGCTGGCGGCACTTACTGCGACAAAGCCCGAGAATATCTCTGCTGGTCTTGACTACCCCATCTCATACGATACCCAGTGTTATTCCTCTTACTCTGCGCTCAAGGGGTGGGCAGATGGTCAATGCGCATCCTTTGATTCCTCTCCAGAAGGTTTCGTGCCGCAGGTCTTTGTTAACCAATACGCCGACACACCAGCGATATACGAATGGTCCCCTCTCGATGATACCATACGTGCTAGTCATGCTCCCCAGCTCCATAACACATTCGAAAGCAGCTACTTCAACGGTTTCGGATTCTGAAGTTCAGTCCTCCCCTGAACTTATGTATACCCCCTCCGTGCGCTACCTCTCTCCTTCATAGACTTCCGATGATAATGAGAAACTGAAATTGGAATGTACTACCAGTGGTTCGACTTGGTATGATTTTACCCTATGCATGTGTTTTACCCCCTCCATAGATGATCTTCTCCTTGTATTGACTGCTATTATTGTTATGCTTTCATTCATCCCGATGTTCTGTACTATGCAATCCCCTGTCTCATTTATGTATGTTGTTTGTTTTGAAGCGACGTTTGTACGATACTAGTAATGTGCTGCCATGTTATGTACTCTTGGACAAGTTAAAGCTACCCTTGGCACCTGCCTGGGGAGCATGTAAAATCAATCCCTAAGGCGCGAGATCAGATCTGCTACATACATGGCCCTTGACAACTGCAACTTAGTGACAGTGATCCTAGTTCCTCGAAACCACTGCCACTACTGAATGTTGGACAGTCCTCTTCATTGGTTTGGGTTCGCATACAGTGTGGGGGCTGATACGGCTGGATCCTAAGTGCTATTCCTAGCGAGGGATTCGGAAGCAAACTATAAAACCACATGTATCACATGCCATCATGGCCACAACGTATCGCCCCGGCTTTTAATTTTGAAGGCGTCCTTGACAATGATGATTCGAGACTTCGAGTCGCCACTCCCCCCTGACTACCACATAGAAATTCTAATCCAAGGTCAGATAACGGGTCTTTACCGTGCTGTGAACGGTTGGCGTACGTACGCCTTGGAAACCATCCCCTTGAACTTGTTCAAACTTTGATAACTATCATCCGAATATCCTTACCGGGTAAACTTTGAAGTTAGATTGACTGTTGCCTTGGTACGGAGAGAAAGAATGATATTCCGCTATCATGATTAGCTCGGGCTTGACGCTTGCCGCCGAGTAGGTGGCGTGTTGGTGTGGTGCCCTGCAAAATGATCAAATAAGTATGATTTGGCAATACTGACAAATGTGGCGCTGAATGGAAAGAAACGAGAGAATGTGTATGTGTGTGCGTAAGTGAGTTCGACCTTCGTTGATACTGAGTAGTACTGAGACCTCCAAGAGAAACGCTAGAAGGCCACAAAACGCTCGGCGCGTTCTTCCGGCAGGCTCCGAACCGGCGCCGTGCTCATGGGAAACGCCACACCACGATGAATTGTTCTACCTTCTTATCTATCGCAGAGTTCCAGACCGGACACCAAGAACGATCTGATGGAACGACGGAACAGTATGTGGTCACACAGCTTTTCATCCTTGAGTTCACTGTCGTATACAATCAGCCGTCTTTCGTGTGCACAAGTGCCACGGCAAGGTTAATGATTCCTGAGCATTAACGAACCCTAAGTTATTATTGAATAAACTGCTGGATGATGGATGCGAGTTTACCCGACCCTCGCGACGCTTCATAATTCTCGCTCTCTTCTGCCGTGATAGCATCTTAGGAATACGAGAATGAAGCAACTTGGTACGCCGCGCAGCTCGTTATGATCGAGGGAGATTTAAGCGCCGGGACCTTGGCCCACACTTAATGTCGGAAAATATTTATTCACATGATGGAAGGAAGCTCACGATTTTTCTGTCATCCACTAGATCGCCGACTGAGCTACTCAATGAAGTGTTGTCAGTGATGGCTTGGAAAGCGAAGCTTGAAGTCCGTGCTAACCAGAAGATAAAGGTACTCGTCATAAACATGAACATCTGCACTAATATCTGCGGCCACTTAGCACGATGTAAACACCAACAACAAACTTTCATACGGCGAACTTGTAGTGTCTACTGCATCAAGACGTACACACTGTAGCGGGGCGCTCTAGTAGTACAGGCCGGGAGTGCAAGGGGTCCTGGCGCAGGAGCAGGAGTCCTGGCTCGTAGTCGGTCCTCGATAGATTGAGCCGCAGCCTCCCGCCACAGAGGTTGGGCCTGGATTTCCCTTGCAGTCCGTGCCCGTTCCAACACCGCACTTGCAACATTGCTAGAAATGAGACTATGGCTGTCGAAAGAGATGATACGGATCTCCGAAACAGCTACGGAATCTAGACAAAAGAACTGTACGTAACCACCATTGCGGTAAAGGCACGTCTACACGATAGACCCACTTACACACACGAACGGTACCACCACGGACCCATGGAGTAGCAGACTTGTGCATCTAAAACGGCTGGCGGGAGCGGCGGACTGGTGGAGGACATCCATCAAGGTATTTGCAAAGTAGGGTACTGTACCCCAACTGGACAATAATTGGATTCAAAAAAAAAAGGCACGTCTCAGGGTGCATGACAATTAGTGACTCACCGTTTTGACCACCCCACCCAGTTTTCGGGCGCTTCTTCGGGCGCCTATATTTAATTCGTACGTGAAATTAGCCCAAAAGTGTTTAGATGTTAACGAGAACATCGTACACGCGACTCCAAAGCTGTAGATGACACGAGTGGGGGTAGGCTTCAGAGTATGTGATCCCCGGGCATCATTATCAATGACGAAGCGCTGCAGCTTTGTCTAGCACAGATATTGTGAGCTCAGTCAACAGTAACGTACACAGACATTACCAAATACCCCAGGAATGATATTGGCGGAGAGACTGGACTATGAGGAAACGTCCTTTGTGCAGCACCAGGATTTGCACTCGGGATAGGCTTTTCCAACAACGCTTGAGAACATAATCGAAGCTGCTTCACGGCATAATGTTGAAACCAGCCTTGGGGGTGAGGAAGTCGTGAAAATGAAAGAGACCCCTCTTTGAATGGAAATTGATGGACTAGCGAAAGACACCAATAATGTAAGGAGACAACAAAAGAACTAAACACAACAAAGATCAGATAAGTGTTCGCATGCTGCAATATTGATGACCATTAGCGTTAGGAGGAGATGCACAGCAGAGGAAAAGCAAAAGACGAGCCCAAAATAGGAGAGGTCGTGACTGAGTGACCGCTGGATTCGGCGTGGTGGTACTAGTAGCAGGAGCAGTGTATATCGAGGCGGCGGCAGGCTGAAATTGCGATTACGATTCGTGGGCTTGGTTGTGACTCCATTGCTGCTGCCGTGTTTGGCTTGCCTTGTCACGTTCCCGCCGTCCAGCAACAATGAGTGCCTAGGCAGGGAACGTCGAATCACAGTAGTTGGATATGCACCTAAATAAAAATGTACTTGTTTGTTCCGCACTACAGCAATGTCAACAGTAAAAAGACCGTCACGCACTTCCATGGACGATTTTCCAGCTGACCTGAGCTGAGACCTGCGAGTAAGATTTAAATTAGTATGATGGTCTTCACCAAAATGTTATGAGATTCACACTCACTGTGACTCACATAAGGAGTGAGTAGGAGGTCTTCAAGGTTTATTTCCATTAAGATAGCATGAACATCCTACACGTACCCATTCTTGTCATCACAACCGGTGACTAGCAGCTTTCAATCGGCGGAAAAAGTGTATTCCAATACATATTCGTGCTGCCCGGGCCGACTGGGAGGTTTGTGTCAATATTCCATACTCGGGCTGTTTCGTCATTCAATGCACTGGAAGGAGGCGCTCGTTCTGGATAAGCAACTAGTCGAGCTTGAAGCTGGATATCGATGTGTGACCCCAAGTTGTTGTAGTAGTGGCCAAGTAGTGGCCTCCCATTCGAATATCCTAATCAGGTATACACCGGAGATAAGCGCTAGCTTCCTATGTCTGACTCTACCAAACTCATTACATAACAACAGCTCGCTTACCTTACCATCCCAGATTTCTACACCATCTGCCTTACGTGGTATTCTCGAATCTCCGCCAGTAGCGGTTTCGATTGCACCTAGAATGATTTCTCCGCTCTCGATTTCTCTCCCACACACTTTCTCGTCATAGCTCAGGATTCACTTATTTCCAGCACAATGACCACGCATGCTCAGTTTGCCTCGTTCGTTTGGCGACGACCTTGTCTCAATGTCCCACAACCTTACTTTACCGTCACTACTCCCGCTCGCGACAGTGTTGCCGTCTGGAGACAATGCTACGACGAGCATCGTTGCCTCATCCTCCTCATCTCGCCAGCCGTCGTTTATTCGTTCGCCACTCTCCAGGTTCCATAGTCGGAGTAAGCTATTGTTCAAATGTGTGACGGTGCGTTGCCCACCAGGTAGGCTCACACCTGTCCAGTATGTCCTCGCATCGTCTGGCGAGGCGTAATCGCTAGCATTTCTCGCATCTTAACGGTAGAGGAAGACATGGGAGTCTCAGTCTCAGCTGACTCAAATCCTGCAAGTAGGTTTTTCTCATGATCAATTCCTCGTGCACTTATATCGACACTAATTCAAGTGAAAACAGATAGGCCCGTAGATTCACCAGCAGTCTGTGCCATTTCTTTACAAGCGTTCGAATTTAAATATTCAGAGCTACTGCTCTTGCATACATTTCCATTATCTGCGGTGTTTATGGGTGCAACAGTTGCTGCTATGTTTCTAAGATCTTTTACGGGAATCCGAAGTTACTGGTAAGCAAGGGGTCAGCTTTACCTTCCACAAGTGCTCAGAGTATTATTCACAGGAAAGCACCGTTCAGATGAATTCCGTGCACAAATTGCCAAAACGAGGGGCACACCTTAAGCGAAGGCAGTGGGAGTTTGGTTCGAAGTCGGGCACCTGCATACATACTTGTAGTGATCCTGGCTTTTGTACGGCCTTGAAGGCTTGAATACTTGAATTGTGCGTTAGCGCTTCACATGGCGTGATAGGATACTCTTCATTAACCTTGTTCACTAGCCACCTTGAGAGCATGTTGTGTGATGCTATGCGTCAGTTTCTTACCATTTACGCGCCGAGTGACTTGAAGCAGGCACTCACGATTCGGTGACTGAAACCCTCCCCCCACCACAATGACCAAGGCGAAGAAAGCGGTTTTTAAGCGGTCGAAGGTAAGTGACAGATTGTACTGTATATTTAAAAGTCTTATCCATGTATTTGACTCAAACGTAGCGTCAAGCAGCTCTGGAACTTAGGAGTCGAACGCGGCTCAACTGCTAGGTGTCACTATTACGGCTATTAACGCTGCGAAAGACCTTGTTTCTATCAACTTGGCAAAGGGTATTCTCGGAATGCTCGCAAACATTCTGATTATTGCGCAGGTGTGACCACCAGAATTATTCGTGACAAAGTACTGAGGTCTGCGTAGTCGAGAGCAAGTCCGATTAACATGTGCGATATTATCAATAGGGTCCTTCAGACGGCTACCGAGATTGCTACCAAAGACGATCTGCAAGGATCTCTCGGAGAAGCTTTATCGGAGCTTAGGGAGTGGGCCAAACCAGTTTAATCATCACTGGAAAATGAAATTGATGACATTGTGCAGAACAGTAGACTGCATCCACGATGATGTAACCTCAAAGAAGGGACAAGGACTTTTCAACGTAGGTTTATGGAACTCCACCTCAACTTCTGTTGCTGAACACGTAGCAAGACTGAAGAACAGCATCTCGGAGTGTCTGCAATACCACATGTATGACAACCATCTCGCCCTATACCCAAACTGTTTCACCTCACGCGCACACATCCCCCTGCTGACCCGGTACTGCCAGAACCCCCATTACCACCCCTCCGGAAGAAAACCTTAACTATCGGTCACTATCCATTTGCACCATCTCTGACAAGACTCGAGACACCTTATCCCACCTCTCCCAATTGGAAAACCGATCACGATTCCGCCCAAAATCCGGCCAGACTATCAACACCATGACTTTCACAAGCTTTGGTGCGATCATGTGCAGGAACCGTGGGATTGACCTCATCAGGTCTGGTGCAGTCGGCGAATCCAGTGGGCCAGCGGCTGCGATGGGTGACGCCCCAACGTGCAGACTGGTTAGGCACATGTTTGGTCGTAGAACAACTTGATCGTCGTCCTCCAGAGGTGCCGCACAGAGAGCATCGAGTCGCACGTCTAAGCAGAGCGCGACGTTGTACAGCTCATGACACCGCCCCACGAGGTAAGCCAGGGCATACAGGGATATGGGTGGGTTACACATTGCTAGGTCAATGAACTGGAGGCGTGGACATGCGCGAGCAAGCGTGGCGATGTCAGTGTCTTGGATTGTGATGGTGGTGTGGATGACGAGGGTCTCGAGATCTGCGAGAGCAGCAGGGCGTGCTAAGAGGGGATGGAGGGCGAGGGATGAAAGTATGTGGTAGTGATCATCATGACAACTCTCGATGAGACTCATGTGCTCTAACTTTGTGTAGATGAGAAAGTTGAAGATGTCGGACCAGATGCTGGCTGGGCTGCAATGATGCGCATCAGTCGTTATTTTTTTGAGGCTGGGAAATCCGAAGCAACATGGATTAGAATCCGTCCTGAGAACAGATCGCAAGAAAGATCCAAAAAGGCTCAGATGTTCGCATGAGATAAGCAGGGTATTGAGTGCCTGAAAGGGCTGGGGCACACGGAGAGCACTAGGGATTCCTTTCGAGCCCATCCGGAAGGCGAGCCATGTGAGGTGTGGCCATGGAGCGATAACATCAAGCAAGCCATTTGATATGTCACAGCATCTCAAAGAAAGTTTTGTGAGACCCTCCGGATAGTTGAACAGGAGTGACTCAATTTCAAACTTGATTTCAGAGGAGTTATCTGCGGTCACGGGGAACGAGACAAAGTCAAGGGCTTTGAGGCTTGGTATGGCGGTACAGAGGAGGAGTTATCTGCGGTCACGGGGAACGAGACAAAGTCAAGGGCTTTGAGGCTTGGTATAGCGGTACAGAGGCCAGGGAAGACAGCCTTACGAAATGATGCGTCTGAGATGTCTAGGGAGAGGGAATTGAGGGTGGGTAGGAGGAGGTTGAGGGCAGGGATGGAGGTGAGATTTCTGTCGTACCATGCGAGTGAGTCCAGCTTGGGAAAGAGAAAGCCGTCCTGTGGCGCGTTTGCAAGGAAGAGTGCGTATGCAGCGTCATTATTCAAGGAATCGTTAATGTAGAGCATCTGGACACGTGCAGCGCGGAGGACCAATTGGTGGAATCCTGCGTGCGCACGGACAGGGGAAGCCTCGCATGATAGAACTAGTTCGGACTTAATAAGAGGCCCGGTGCCCTTCAGGTAAGACCAAAGGACATTGAGTGCTGGTTCACGAAAAGCACGGCAGGTGAGTGCGAGATGGAGGACCGAGCGTTGACCTCTCGAATACGGTAGGAATGCAGGCGTTATAGAACGTCCATACGATAAATGCCTATTGAAACCCCATGGGTCTTCGAATTGATTATTCAACACAAAACGAAAGATTATTTCGAGGATCTCATTGAGGCGAAGACAGCGGTGCATGTCGGGATACAAGGACTAAACACTGAACAGAGTCCAGATGTCGGAAAAAATTGCGTGTCACCGTGAGACTGACAGTGCCTGTCTGGTATTAGTCAGGTCAAACTCATACCCAGAGTCAGCGAGGGTGTTCAAGGGGCGACGGTGAATAGGGGTGAATAGGACAAACTTGCCGTACAGTTCCTGATCACTTACATAATAACGCGAAGGGCTTAGGCCTCCGGAAGCTCCTACATGTCTGTCCGTTGGCCAAATGTCTGTCCAAAGATAGACCAAGTTGCAATTGGCCTGAGGTCTGTCCATAGATGTATTATGCAGATTTTTGACGACCGGTCACAGCAGGAAAATGGGAAAAAGTCTTAGGATGTGGCGTGAAAAAACGATACGGATAAGGCAATGGCAGTGTGGGCTTTAGTTTTGCCGGTTATAACCGGCAAAACCGGCAAAACTTGGCAAAGCTCTAGGCGGTTAGCTAGGTTATGTAGACTATATGTATGACATTCCTAATGATATCACATCAATGTTAGTGTTGCCTCGTCCCATGGCTGTCACCCTCGCCATTATAATTGACCACCTCAATCTCATCTATACTATAGAACGGTCTGTTGTTCGACCCCATCGGGTCCAACTCGTCAAAATCAAAAGCATTTCCCACGAGCACTTCAATACTTTGAACTTCTTCATTCCTTTTCAACTCTTCGAGAGTTGCAAATTCAGCGGCAATGTCGTCAGGCGAGAAGGTCATCTGCATTGCGAGGCTCAGTCGAGACTCGAGAGCGGAGGTGCCCATGCGAAGGATGCTTCAAGATCCTGTGCAGTCTAGACAATCTCTTCACGAGTGTGCATGTGAGCATGTCGACAGCGGGTGGACTTCCCAGCCTCCGCAGCTCTTATGGCGCTGTGGTATCGAAGGTTTGCATGAATTTTGCCGAGTATTTCAAATGTGTCAACTAAGAGATTACACCGCCGTGTAGATTGTGTTGTGCCGAGATCAGAGAATGTGCGCTCTTGACGAGTTATCAGTGTCGCCGCAATGTTTGCATTCACACTAGTAACAATGTGAGCTGTTGTCAAGTCGTTCCAGGCGCTCGAAATTGTTGTTGATCAGTGATGCGAGAGGGGCGCCCTCCAGCATGCACCATCTTACTTTAGGGACGTCGCTTTGCATGTTCTCTTGAATTCAAACTATGTTATCTGAGAGCTAAATTACATCTCCACGAGTCTTGGATATCCTAGAGTTCTACCAAGTTTTGCCACCCCCCTTTTGCGTGAGTTCTGCCAAGGACCGGACACAACCAGTTTTGCCGAACCGGTTGGAAAAACTCGGTACAACACTAGGCGTGAGTCTGATGGCTGAACCTGGACCAAGATAGGTGTCGGTCATTGACGCGGCCGAGTGCCGTTACGATATAGTTTAGTAATTAGACTTCCATTGGACTTCCATGTCATTGATCTGCTAACATATGACTATTCAGGGCTCAGCGATCATGTTGCCAATTGCCGTGTACAAGGCTGCATGGCCTAATATTAATTCCATTCTACCCCCTACATAATCGGGTCCCCAGCTGGGGGATTCGCCACGGTGGGTGAAATGGTAAGTAAGCAGGCCTCGTGATGGGTGCATCTTAACAAGCCTGAGTTTGTATAAATTGAACATGATTCGCAGATAGGACTATTATCTGATCCTTCAAGCCCCACTACAATCGTCCTACTCTTGAGTCGATCCTCCTCTCCTAGTATTAGACCATGTTAACTCTCACCAGCATCACCGGGCTCGACCTATGCCTTGCTTGTGTCGGAGTGTATCTGCTGAAGCAGGTGTTCAACAAGAAGAACCCTGCCGCATATCCCCCTGGTCCTCCGGGGTGGCCTCTTATCGGGAATGTCCTGGACGTGCCTCACATCAAGCCCTGGCTCACCTTCACGGAGTGGGGCAAGAAGTATGGTGAGTGCCTCTCGTTTGCCACAATCGTGCATTTCGAGGTCTTACTATCCGCAGGTGATATTTTGCATATTGAGGTACTGGGTCAACACATCGTGGTGCTGAACTCTCTCAAGACTGCGATGGACATGCTGGACAACAAGAGCACTATATACTCTGATCGTCCAATTCTTCCTGTTGGTGGCGAACTTATTGGCTGGAAAAACGCTACTCCTCTCCTCCCTTACGGTGACCGTTTACGCAGGCACCGCAAAAATTTCCACAACGTCATTGGCACGCGCGCCGCTATGGGCATATACAACCAGGTCGAGGAGGTCGAGACTCGCCGATTCATTAAGCGTGTGTTCAAAAAACCCGATCAACTAGAGGCACATGTTCGACAGTATGTATTATTTATCTTTGCATTGACACAATTTTGATTTTCATAGCACCGCTGGCGCTGTCATTCTGCGCATCTCTCATGGTTATGAAGTGAAAGAGAACGACGATCCCTTCGTTGACGTAGCAGACCGCGCTCTTGACCAGTGGTCGCGTGTCACCGCTCCTGGCGCCTTCGTGGCTGATGTCGTGCCATTCTGTAAGCCATAGCATCCAGACGTTTACTTTCAATGGTCTCACCATTTTTAGTGGTCAAGGCCCCTGAATGGTTCCCTGGTGCTGGCTTCAAACGTGTGGCCCGCGAGTGGCACGACACCCTTGAAGAGATGGTCTCTGCACCGTATAAGTTCGTCGTAGATCAGATGGTGGCCATCATTTATAGTTTTGCGAGTATGCGTTGAAGTCCGACTTTTACAGGCTGCTGGCATTGCCCCGGAGTCTTTCACCTCGAATTTGTTGGGAGGCAGCCCTTTGTCAGCGGAAGACGAGCACGTTGTTAAATGGTCTGCTGCAACTCTATACGCCGGCGCTTCCGACACAGTTGGTCCCTCCCACCATATTTCTAATGACCATCTTCTGAGAGTACTACACTTCTTTCCTCAGACTGTTTCTACCATCAACTCGTTCTTCTTAGCTATGACGCTATTCCCTGATGTGCAGAAGAAGGCTCAGGCTGAAATAGATGCTGTTGTCGGCCCTGATCGTCTTCCCTCCATCACCGACCAGGACTCTCTCCCTTACATTGGAGCGCTTGCCAAAGAAGCCCTACGATGGCATGCTGTTATCCCTACCGGTCCGTGCATCTCGTTTAACGCATTATTTTGTTGCCGAACGGTATTTCAATGTCAGGTTTTCCCCACTGTGTCTCTGAGGATGACATCCACGACGGGTACTACATCCCAAAAGGTACTGTGGTCATACCTAACATATGGTTGGTACCCTCTTCTCTCCATATTTAATGTTTAAACAGATTATAATGATATAATGTCAGGTTCATGCTCCATGACCCGGAGATATATGTCAACCCTCGGCAATTCAACCCTGAACGCTTCTTAGCCAATGACGGAAAGAAGCCTGAGACAGAACCCCGCACGATCTGTTTCGGCTTTGGAAGGCGGGTAAGTATGTCGTAAGTTTTTGTGCCAAGCTAACTTTCTGCTCTGCAGTATTTGTCCAGGTATGCCCAACTCCCAAACTGTATTCTGACGTTCAGTTGCTTTTCGTTCACAGGTATCCACCTCGTTGAAGCCTCTGTTTGGTTATCCATCGCGATGTCACTGGCCGTGTTCGATATCTCGAAGGCCGTCGAGAACGGCATTGAGATCATCCCTGACGTTGATCAATCATCAGGCACGATCAGGTATGTTACATATCTGATCACGTCCGGCGCTGATCCGATAGATACCCTTCTAGCCACCCAAAACCCTTCAAGTGTTCCATTAAGCCTCGCTCTTCGAAAGCTGTCGCGCTTATTGAACAGGATGCTAACTACTAAGTGTGCGAAGGTGAAATACAAAGCTGAGGAAAGTACTTGCTGTGAGTGGCAATTTTCACATCTGACATCCAGGTCTGTCACATTTTGAACTTTGCATTACAGTGCGGGATCAAATGTGGTGTCACATCGCGGTACAATTGTACATGTTTTCTTGTTCTATGTTGTTGGCAATGTATGCTCTGGCATTAACGACGCGTGTGTCTACCTGTTAATCCGCCTGTCTGGCACCTCCCGCCCCATGATCAAGAGCACACGCAAGTATTTTGACTCTATTCATTGACTGACACCTTAGGCTTTACGTGTGGTGGCTACCTCCGGCTATTTCACCAACAGCTCACGACAGACTTATCGTGCTGAGTGCACCATCTTATTAGCATCGCGAAGTTCATTTCTCAATCATTAAACTGCGGAGGCGGAAGAAAACCTAAACTATCGGTCACTATCCATTTGCACCATCTCTGACAAGACTCGAGACACCTTATCCCACCTCTCCCAATTGGAAAACCGATCACGATTCCGCCCAAAATCCGGCCAGACTATCAACACCATAACTTTCACAAGCATTGGTGGGATTATGTGTAGGAACCGTGGGATTGACCTCATCAGGTCTGGTGCAGTCGGCGAATCCAGTGGGCCAGCGGCTGCGATGGGTGACGCCCCAACGTGCAGACTGGTTAGGCACATGTTTGGTCGTAGAACAACTTGATCGTCGTCCTCCAGAGGTGCCGCACAGAGAGCATCGAGTCGCACGTCTAAGCAGAGCGCGACGTTGTACAGCTCATGACACCGCCCCACGAGGTAAGCCAGGGCATACAGGGATATGGGTGGGTTACACATTGCTAGGTCAATGAACTGGAGGCGTGGACATGCGCGAACAAGCGTGGCAATGTCAGTGTCTTGGATTGTGATGGCTATGACATGTGAGGTGTGGATGACGAGGGTCTCGAGATCTGCGAGAGCAGCAGGGCGTGCTAAGAGGCGATGGAGGGTGAAGGATGAAAGCATGTGGTGCTGCACGCAGTGATCATCATGACAACTCTCGATGAGACTCATGTGCTCTAACTTGGTGTAGGTGAGAAAGTCAAAGATGTCGGACCAGATGCTGGCTGGGCTGCAATAATGCGCATCAATCGTTATTTTTTCGAGGTTGGGAAATCCGAAGCAACATGGATCAGAATCCGTCCTGAGAACAACGCGCAAGATGCAAAAAGGCTCAGATGTTCGCATGAGATAAGCAGGGTAGTGAGTGCCCGAAAGGGCTGGGGCACACGGAGAGCAGTAGGGATTCTTTTCGAGCCCATCCGGAATGCGAGCCATGTGAGGTGTGGCCATGGAGCGATAACATCAAGAAAGCCATTTGAGATGTCACAGCATCTCAAAGAAAGTTTTCACTGTGGATAGTAGTTTCGGTGAAATTCACTGGAAAATCCACTGGTGCTGAATGTTTCAGAGTAAGTTTCACTTAAACTGCATGCAGTTAATTTCATTGGAGCGCTGATTCTGAATTTCAGCTGATCATCCTCGATTCAGCACCGCCCTTTCAGTGGAAATTTTACTGAATCAGATTCAGCTCTGTGTGTTCTAACCACCTTCCTAACATGGTAATTGGTTTGGCGTTCTGGTGCCAAGCGCCACTGCTTCTTGTAGTAAGATAGGCCGCTGTCATACTTCGCTTGATCATGTGATCAGATCATGACATTTCGTGACAAAAGTACCAGAATCGCATCTCCTCCTTCAAATCGTCGTTTTTCGCTAAAGTAGAACCTAGGAATATTAGCTAAGGTACATACTCAGACAGCCTAGGTTTTAAAATTGTAATATAGTTCAAACTGAGAGTGAAGATGACTTTCTTATGTTTGGGACATGCTCATTGTGCTTTGTCATTCAAGTCTACTTGGTGATCCACTTCAGAATCCATTGACAGAACTAACACTACCTCTCAATAGCATGCTGAAACGAAAACTCTTCAACATTTGGGAAGCTGGGCTAAGTCAACTACTCACTCCAAAGAGAATGTAGGAACACTTTGACAAAACTAAGTAAAAGTAGTGTAAACCGCACTCAGCCGCTATCCAAAGGAAGGATGAGAGAACGACTGAGGGAAAAATACACAACAAGGGTCCATTATATGATAGGAACAAGCTCGCTAAGGTACCATGAGGCTCGCTTAAGAAATCCCTAACCTCTCCGCTATTACGTGTACACCCGAGCACCTCCGAAGTGCACTCAAGCGCGATGAAGTGCGTTGAAGCGCATTGAAGCGCATTGAAGCGCGATGAAGCGCATTGAAGCGCATTGAAGCGTGTTGAAGCACGATGAAGCGCGTTGAGAAGCGCGAAGCGTGATGAAGTGTGTATGTACACAATGAAGGCACAGAGTGCGCTTTCAAGGGCGAACTCATCTGGTTTTGTCACTCCCACTTGAGTGAAGTCACAGACCCATGGCCTTGGTAAACTTCCAATGCTTTTCATGGGTTGGTGGTTTTGTGAGAATGTCCGCCACCATGTCGTCTGTTGAGATGTAACATATGATTGCTTCTCCTTTTGCCACTAGATCATCACGAATGAAATGATACTTGTGCTGGATATGCTTCGTGCGCGCGCGGAACTGCGCATCTTTGGTAAGGATGATGGCTGCCTGATTGCCGCAGTGAAGTGTGGTGGGCGCGCCTTGCTTTTGATCGATTTCAGCGAAGAATGTGCGAAGCCAGGCGAGATGTTGTCCTGCATTGCTAAGTCCAATGTACTCAGACTCAGTGGTGGATAGTGCTACCATGCTTTGTCATTTGCTTGCCCAAGATATGGCGCCGTGATTGGTGATGAAGGTGTAACCTGATGTGGAGCGCGAGGTATCTAACTCGCCAGACCAGTCTGCATCTGAATAGCCATGGAAGTCCATGTCCATTGATACATCAGTTTCCATCATAGGATAACTCCATATCGCGCATGGCTTTGAGATAGCGAAGTACGCGCTTTGCGGCTTCCCAATGCGAGGATTTAGGCACAGCGCTAAAACGGCTAAGTACTCCCACTGCATACGCGATGTCTGGGTGTGTGCCAAGCATGGCATACATGAGTGAGCCAATGACAGATAGGTATGATACTTTGCGCCCTTCGATGGTGATCTCATGGTGTGTAGGGTTGTCTCCCTCTTGGTCTACAGTGAGTTTGAGACCATGCACCATGGGTGTCCAGATAGGTTTGCAGTCTGCCATGCCAGTGCGCTGCAAGACAGTGTCTATGTATTGGCGCTGCTTGAGTGCAATTTTGCGCGCCTTGCGATTGCGTTGAATTTCGATGCTGAGGATGAACTTTGCTTCTCCCAGATCATGCATCTTGAATTGCGCTGAGAGCTTGCACTTCACTAAATCCATGAATGTGCGTGTAGATGCAGCAAGTAGTAGGTCATCGACATAGACAACTAGGAAACAGACTTGTCCCTTTTCATGGAAAACATACAGGCACATTTCTGCGTCTAAGCGCATGAAGCCTATCTCACCAAGTTTGCGATCAAGGGTCTTGTTCCAAGTGCGCCCTGATTGCTTCAGACCGTACAGTGAGCGCTTTAGTCTCCAGCAGTACCCTGGTTGGATTGGGACACCTTCAGGTGGAAGCAGATAGAGTTCCTCCTCTAATTCACCATTCAAGTATGCTGTGGAGACGTCCATCTGATTGAGTTCAAGGTCGTGTTTCGCAGCTAATGACAGGATTATGCAGATAGATTCCAGGTTTGCAACGGGGGCAAAAACTTCCTGGTAATCAACGCCTTCGCGCTGCTTGAAACTGCGCGCAACTATGCGGAGTTTGTAGCGATCGACATTACTGTTTTGATCAAGCTTGATGCAAAAAACAGGCTTGGAGGTGATAGGCTTGATGCCTTCAGGAATTGGAACTGTCTCATAAACCTGGTTGGAGTTCAGGCTTAATAATTCCTCTTTGAGAGCGGAGTGCCACAGGTGTCCATCTGCATGGGCAAAGGCTTCTGGCAGTGACTGTGGGAGGTCATGTTCAGCAGGACCTGTTGCGCTTATACCTGCAAAGTGCATGTAGTCGTCGTCTTCGTCTTCGACAGATGGTTGATGAGATTTAGCACACTCAGGAAATGGTTCCGGGTCTGCTGTGGCCTGCTCCTCACACCGTTGCTGCTCTTCATCAAGTGTGCGCTGGTAATCCCGGTTCTTGTCAGCTGGGCGACGGTCACGCGCACTGCGCCGGACCCCTCCAATCATTTGGGCAGGTGCACGTGTGCGCACTGGTGAGCGCGTGCGCATTGGCGAGTGCGAGTGCATTTGGGAGTGTGAGTGCACTTCAGATGTTGCTTGTGATACAGGCATATGTGGATTGTCATGACTTGATAGGTTCTCCAGTTGCTCAGTCAGTTCTTCCAGTTTATCCGGTGTCATGCATGGTATGCAACTCATACCATGACAGATACACAAGAGGTGTGATAAGGAAGGTATAATAGACCCTACTGTATCCTATCACCAAGTTACCCCATCATTTTCCCTTAGTTATTAGCTAGTATTTTCACTTTCAATCTTCACTTCCATTTTTCCATGTATTTCTATTTTGTTCTATGACATCCCATCTCTTTCTATTTTCCTCAGGCATATTCAGCCAACAGACTTTCTTTTCAGCCACCAAGCATGTTTGTAAGCATGTCATGTGACTGGTAGATATCATGATTTGTAAAGATTGAGCTTGACTCATCATGTTTTGTCATGATTTGTCATGCTTTGTAAGATTTCTGACTGTATTTATAAGCTACTTAGTAAGAAGGCTGATTCAGCACACCAAATGGCATTGTTAGTAAGCACATCCTTACCAATCCATGTGATGACTCATGCCATGATTCGTCATGCTTTGTAAACTACACTGTATTTATAATGTAAATTAGTAAACAGGCTGACTCAACACACCAAATGGTATTGTTAGTAAGTACATTCTTACCAATCCATGTGATGATTCATGCTTTGTAATCAGGGCCTCCAAAAGGTATATAAGGAGCCCAATTTTGCCATGTAATAAATGGAGCACTTCCCACCTTCGCTCATCTCAAACAGTGTGAGATTAAGTAAGAACCTAAGTACAGGCAATTTATTAGCCTCAAAGTAAGACTAAGAAACATTTATTCAATTATATACTACCTTACAGGGGTTGATTATATAATCTATCAGCTATTCTAACTAAGTTTAACCCATACTATTTTCCTCTCTCTTTTAGAGGAAGGGAGACACGATTCACGCTACATTTTTCATGCTACACGCTACACGAGCACGCTAACTCTCAGACACAAATCATACCATAGACTCAGTATACAGAATCAAATTGTTTTAAACTAACCAAGGAACAAGGAAAGAAGGTATATTGAAATAAATCCTCCCAAGAACTCACACGTTATCTACCACGAAAACTAGAAAAGTCGTAGACCATGTACTTAAGGACTGGCAATAAGTCTTATCCTATATAGTTGTGTTGTCACTATATAAGCGGCGTACATAAGACCCTTAAGTAAGAGGACACCAGGTGCGCATTTAGCAAGGTTGGCAGTGTGTCAGGATCTAGTGGGGTTTCCGCGCTGTCTGAGAGATCCGTTGTGGGTATCACGACCTGGCAGGCACATATAAGAAAAGTGCTCAACCAGTATAAGTGAGTCTCAGCTCTGCCTAGCTGCTATACTTGCAGAATGCAAGAACGTTCAACCCTAAAGGGGAAGCAAGGAAAGCAAGGATCCACGGAATAATGCTGATCAATCCTGATGAATGGCGGTGAAAGCGCGAGAAATGCGCTGAAGGCGCGCGTGGGAAAGCGGAATGCGAAAGTGCGCGAAGCGCGGGAAGGTAGTGCAAGCAGTGCACAAGTGTAGAAGATGGATACTGAGACTGATAAGAGGAAAAGTGCGGATCTAGACGGATACTGGTAGTGCCACTAGCTATAGACTGATGCTAGGGCCTCAAAACGATGATGGACACATGCATTGCATGGAACTAACTGGTGATAGATACTGAGTGGTAGGAAGGTAAGGTGGTATAGTTGGGTGTAAAATGAGCATGAAGGTATGTAAGTTTTACCTAAGCGCTCTCCCAGGGCTTGGAGCCGAATAGGGAGCACTCTAAGTATGTCAGTGATGTAAAGTGATGTAAAGTAAGGGTCCATAATGAAATGGGAAGTGTAATATGCCAAATATGGTCAGATAACGAAAAGGGACATACCAAGGGACTGGTTGGACAATGGATGGATGCTCCTGGATGATGCATGATGCAGTGCGCTTAAGCGCGAGAAAGCGCGCAAGGCACGCATGCGGGAATGCTGCATGTTGTGCGGGAAAGCATCGCGCCTATGGCACATTTTGTGGGAAAGTGGTGCACTCTATAGGGAAGTCATAGTGGATGATAGTGCGAGTCATGCCATGAAGGCCAGTTGCCAGAATTCGTAAAATGAGCCCATATGTGCCTGCAGAAATGTGAGTCTCTACACCGTGTCCTCTTCCTCATCAGATACAGATGCATCGGGGTGATGGCGCTGAAGTGGGAACAGACCCTCCCACTGTTGCCCAGTAGGGTGCGCATTCCAAGGGGTTAGATCAGCGTCAGGAACCTGGTCAGTTTCATTGAAAGTGATGTGTCTGCTGGTACCGTGCGTTGCGCCAGGTCCATGAGTTTGTATGCCTTTTGACCATGCATGTAGTCAATCATGATCGCCTTGCGTCCTTTAGAGTGAAACTTTCCTGCGCGCTTGCTTTTGGTATGAGCGCGTATGCAGGGCATCCAAATGGGTGGAAGAAAGAGGGATCTGCATTCTGGTTGAAGAGCTTTTCATATGGTGTCTTCCCTTTCAGGCCTGCGGTTGGGCTGCGACCTGTGACATAGGCAGCGGTTGACATTGCATCCACCCAGAAAGACTTTGGCAATTTGGATTCTTCCAGCATGGCTGTAGCAAGCATTGAGAGTGTTTGGTTCATGCGCTCTGCGATGCCATTTTGCTCTGGGGTGTCAGCTGCGGTGGTTTCAAGGATGGTTCCATCAGTGCGGAGCCCGTTTCGCATGTTGTTACCAGTGTATTCCCCTCCACCATCGCTGCGCATAAATTCAGTGTGAAGCACGGAGAAGCGCTCTTCACCAATTTCAGAGCGGAAGAATGCTTGAACGTCTTTCTTCCATTGCTTGTACTGGTTGAGTACGTCGCTCTTGTGCTTCAGGAAATAGATCCAAGGAAATCTGGAATAATCATCGACAATGACCATCCAATAGCGGAATCCTTCGCGCGATTTAGGGGTGATTAGCCCACCTACATCTGTGTGGATGATTTGAATGGAAGTTTTCTTCATCTTCCCTAGCATGCATGGTTCACAGAAGGTTGGATGTCCAGTAACAGAGTCAATCCCAGGGAGTTGGCCATTTGCTATCATGCACTGTATGCGATTCATGCCTATGTGTCCCATTCTTTGGTGAAGAAGGTTGATATCCACTGTCATGAGCGCTTGATCCATGAAGGTGAGAGGAGCGCCTTCAACGTGGTATAGGCCGCCCTTATGCTTTGCAGTTAGGACAAGATTTGCACCTTTGTGAACCCCACAATTGTCTGTTGAGGCATCAAAATGTGTGGACAGTCCGTGGCGCGCAAGTTTGGAAACTGATATGAGCGATATTGTGAAGGCCGGTACGTGCAGTGCATCAGATAGTTCGACATCATATATCTGCCCCTTTATGGTGGTGCGAAAAGTAGCTGTTCCTTTTCCAATTGTGTCCACTGTGGAGTCATCGCCGAAACTGATCTTGCGCGCTGGATGGATTGCACGATATGTTCCTGGTTTGAACCAAGTGCGGTGTGGGACCATGTGCGATGAGGCACCTGAATCAATGATGATGTCCAAACGATCCTTAGTGACAGACGCAGAATAAGCCTGAACACGCTTTGCCAAAGCCTTAGGGATATGTACACGTTCTCTAACTGCGGCGCTCTTGGTGTCTACTTCAGAGTCTGAGTCCGCAGGCGAGTCTGCTTTCTTTGCCATATCCTTCTTTTTCTTATCTCCCCAGTTTGGCTTCTTTCCTTCCTCCAGTGCACGGCTCTGCTCCTTGATCGCATTGCAGTTGTGCGTATCATGCGTAGCTGTCTGATGGAGCGCGCACCATGTCTCAGGTTTCGCGCTTGCAGCAGTATGTGCGGTTGAGGCATCGACAGGTTGGCGCGCAACCTCTGCAATGACAATTGCATTGAAGGTGAGGTCCTTTTCTGCGATGGTGTTGAGAACAGAGGAGGCGAAAGTGCGCCAGTCAGGGGTGTCAGGAAGGGAGCGCATAAGCACAAATGCAACAATTCTGGAATCAATTGTGAAGCGCATGCCTGTTAGGCACGACTCTAGGTTGTGAAACTTTGCGATGTGGTCACTAATCTGCACAGTACCGTTGTAGAGACTCGCGTTTCTGTGGGCTCATATGGGCTCATATTGCAAATTCTGACAACTGGCAGTTCATGGCACAACTCGCACTATCATCCACTATGACTTCCCTATAGAGTGCACCACTTTCCCGCAAAATGCGCCATAGGCACGACACTTTCCCGCACAATGCGCAGTATTCCCGCATGCGCGCCTTGCGTGCTTTCTCGCACTTAAGCGCCCTGCGTCGCACAGCATGCAGGAGCATCCATCCATCATCTGACCAGTCCCTTGGTATGTCCCTTTTCGTTATCTGACTATATTTGGCATATTACACTTCCTATTTCGCTATGCACCCTTACTTTACATCACTTTACCTCACTTACATACTTAGAGTGCTCCCTATTCAGCTCCGAGCCCTGGGAGAGCGCTTAGGTAGAACTCACATACTCTCATGTTCGTTTTACACCCCACTTACCCACCTTAGCTTCCTACCACCAGCTTCCTACCACTCAGTATCTATCACCAGTTAGTTCCATGCAATGCATGTGTCCTTCATCATCTTGAGGCCCTAGCATCAGTCAATAGCTAGTGGCACCATCAGTATCCGTCTAGATCCGCACTTTTCCTCTTATCAGTCTCAGTATCCATCTTCTACACTTGTGCACCACTTGCACTACCTTCCCGCGCTTCGCGCACTTTCGCATTCCGCTTTCCCATGCGCGCCTTCAGCGCATTTCTCGCACTTTCACCGCCATTCATCAGGGTTGATCAGCATCATTCCATGGATCCTTGCTTTCCTTGCTTCCCCTTTAGGGTTGAACGTTCTTGCATTCTGCGAGTATAGCAGCTAGGCAGAGCTGAGACTCACTTATACTGGCTGAGCACTTTTCTTATATGTGCCTGCCAGGTTGTGATACCCACACCGTCCCACTTCAAAGCAATGAGTTGTTCGAAGGTGTAGAAGGCATTGGCGACACTTGACGTATTGTGAATGGTTGCAAGTTCGTCAAAAATGCCTTTGCTGTTGCGCATGCTTCTGTTTTCATGAGGAGCGCATCTGAGATATGATCTTGGATGATACCGTGCACTTTTCATCGCGCGCGGCCCATGAGTCTGTTGCACTACTGCAAGTGATTGATGGAAGTGGGGCAGAAGAGGCTGAGGTAGTGGAGACATTAGGAGCAGTGGCAGGAGCAGTGGTGGCAATGGTTGGATCAGGATCTGCGCCTGTGACGACGTGCAGTACTTTGTCTCGGCGAAGTTTTCCAGTGATGTGAAGTTTCCATAGCTGGAAATTCTCTGGGCCTGTAAGGACTGGGGTTGCGAGGGTGTCGCTGGTGGAGGATGTCATGTCCGAGAGGTGTGCGACCTCGTGAGTCGTTTCTGAGAGGTTGCTGGCTAGTTAGCATAACCAGGGCTCATAACCTGACAAAACTAAGTAAAAGCAGTGTAAACCGCACTCAGCTGCTATCCAAAGGAAGGATGAGAGAACGACTGAGGGAAAAAATACACAACAAGGGTCCATTATATGATAGGAACAAGCTCGCTAAGGTACCATGAGGCTCGCTTAAGAAATCCCTAACCTCTCCGCTATTACGTGTACACCCAAGCACCTCTGAAGCGCACTCAAGCGCATGCACGCCAAGTGTGTGTGCAGCAATGTGAAAGTGCGCTTAAGCGCAATGAAGCACGTTGAGAAGCGCGAAGCGTGATGAAGTGCATATGTACACAATGAAGGCACAGAGTGCGCTTTCAAGGGCGAACTCATCTGGTTTTGTCACACTTTTCATTTATTGTTAAGACTGTACTCAAGTAGTATCGGATCCGAAGGGCTTCAGCCTCAGCTCGTGCGCTGTGCCCCTTTCCTGAGTCTTGCCCCTTATTTCAGAGTACTATAGTATCGCGTATATTGAGACGGATAAGTCTCGTAACGGATCCGTTATGGCTTCTGGATATCGAACGTATATAGTAACGGCTAATCTGGATCAGATCCAAACTAGAAACTAACGGGCGAGGACTGTCCGAAGACAGAGACGGATATATAGACTATAGGAATCAACCCTAAGTCTCGGAGTAGACAAGAGTATCGTACTCAAGTCCAGATGGATAACGGAGGGACTTGGAGTCCAGACAGAATGAGTGTAATCTAAGATGATATTCAAACTGATCTACTACAGCGCATGTACAAGGGTTTATATACTACAGATAACTAACGGAATGATCAATAAGCAAGGACGCGAGGCTATGTACAAAGTACAAGCAAAGTATGTGTACAGCATATCGGTAAGTCGGATGGATAACGAATCATAACCGGGAATGAAGTCTAAGCTAAAGCGGATCAGTAAGTGTAGCGGATCAGTAAGCATAACGGAAGTAAAGGATAACCAGTATACCGGTGTATAGGAATGCCAAAAGGAGATGAACGATAGTTAGAGTTATATGAACAGGACATGAAACAAGGATTAGATTGGATCTGTGGACCGGACAACAGATATGTCCATCGGATCTGGATCAGATCTGAGATCAGGATCTTCGGATCTGTACCCGGGAATATGGTATATGACAAGGGCCTTCTTGCTATTGCCATAGTAGAATCTGAGGCAGCTATCCCTTAGAGCTTGTGAGACAAAATTCTTCCATTTGCCCTATAAAACTTATAGTGAGTGGCTGCCTTGGGGAGGAGTAAACAAGTAACCAAACATTAGATGAATCAGGAATACAAAGATAATGACCTGTCTTGAGTAACTTGGTGGCGTTCGTGACTATACATTTCTGTACCTCATCCTGGCGCGCTATGGTGCACTTCAGAAAGATGCTTTTGCAATAGACATAACAACTTTCTTCAGCTCTGTGTAAAACATAAAGAGATCATCACAGAGCTGACAGTAAATATATAAGTTTATTGTACATCCATTAATGAGACACTTACCAGCCATGACATTTGTGCTGTGTACTGTGGGAAATAGCCTAAGAAGCAAGATGAGATTTGCAAAGGGGGTCAGGCAATAGTGGTTCTCAAAGTTGATTTCATAGAATCTGGAAACATCAAAAGTTTGCGAGTTGCCGGTTGTATTTGAAGCTCCGACGCTGACAAATAAACCCTAAGCTTTGGTCCATCTGCTATAGCATTCTGCAGCTCCATCACTGATATGCCCCATGAATCAGATCGAAAGATGCTGCTTTGCTGCCTCAAACAAACCAGAAATGACCTTTCTGTCACACAATACATGGAACTAATTGAATTTATGATAGATCAAATACTGGATGAAGACTCAGACTCTGATACAGAGCTTCATGATGCTGCCAGTGGCCGTAGCGACTCGGATATCAGTATACGGACTGCATCACCAACATGGCTGGAGTCGCCTACATCGTCAATCACATCCGCCTCATCAATCAACTCTCTGGTATCACTCTCAACAGCATACTCCAGCATACTCCAACTTCTTATCGCATGATATCCTGGACATGTGTGAATGGGTCTTTACCCAGTTCATCAATGCAATCGGTGTGCTGCATGATGAGGTGGAGAAGTGTCGAGTGCTGAATGTGCATCCATGTCTGAATCACACACCTCAGCTCCACTTGCTGCAGGAGTGGGCTCTGTTCTCAGCTGATAAATTTTGCCGGAAGCTTCGTGTTGAGGCAGACATGTTCGATGGACTCACGAGGTTAATTCAAGAACACCCCATCTTCTATAACCGCTTGAATAACCCCCAACTCCCTGTTGCAGTCCAGCTCACCATTTTTATAAACGGTGTCGGCCATTATGGCAATGCCGCGACTACTGAAGATATATCCAACTGGGCTGGAGTATCCTTGGGGACAATTTATAACTGCTACAAACAGGTTATGATTGTGATCTTGCAGCTTCATGACCAGGCGATTCATTTCGATCCGCTTGATCACGAGGATCAAATGGAGCGAGAGCGGGCAAAAGCTTATGTGGAAAGCAAGATGTGTCGTGAATGGCGTGGAGGTTTTCTTTGTGTAGATGGGACTCCGTCCCCTCTACACGAGAAACCTGGTTGGCATGGTGAAGGGTTCCTTGACAAGAATTCGGACTACTCTCTAACAGCCCAGGTAAGTATCGGTTTGGTGTGCAACACAGTGACTTACAGTTTAAAAGGTTGTTATATTGCCTCATAACCTTCGTATCGTGGACTATGTCTTCAGCGTACCTGGGAGTCTCCATGACTCAAATGTATTCGCATGAACGAGAGTTTCCCGGCATCCTGAGTTGTTTTTTGGTGCAGGAGAGTGGTTGTGGGCGGACTCGGCATATGCTGCACAAACCTGGTGTGTGCCACCATATAAACGGCCACTGGGAGGGAGTTTGATGGAGGACCAAAAGACATTCAATCACAACCTGTCAACGGTGAGTATGGATCACAATACATGTTCAGGGCATTTGTGTGATGAAGAGGGAGGACGGCTAAACTGAGGTGGTGTGCTTTGAGAAGATGGATGAGACTGCTTTGCAGCGAGAGAAGGTGAGCTTTCGCGACTTCCCTTAAGTGAGCTGACATGGAGAGACTGTAGTGCTTGGCTGGCACCAATGTCCGAGTCTTCTGAGTTGATAGGTGTAGACTGACGGCTTGGTGAAGACTCCTTGAAATCCGAAAAAAAAGACAGCAAATTATCAATGGCATTTTTATTGGATACTGGTGAGCACTCAGGAGAGTTCAATGATACTACTCCTGGGCCAAGCGCATCAGAAGTTGAGATGGGAGGGAGCTGTGTTCGTTGGTACCATGATGGTAATGGAATTAGTGAGAATGAATCAGGTGTGTTGCTAGGACCATGGTCCGAAGTTAAAAGTGGTGATGATTCGACTGATTCCATGCGGGGGGCTGGTCAACCACCATATCATCTGTCACATCTACAACACCACCATCATCCGTAGTGTGAGGATTGATCTCAACTATTTCTCTGTCTTCAGGGTCTGTGTGAGTGTCGTCGTCACCTGTAGCCGGTTTTAGTTGCATCGATTGAATATCAAAGTGTTCCAATGTGGCAGATGCAAAGTATTGCCCTACATCCACAGTAGAGAAGGCATAGTTGAAGGCTGGGTTGGTCTGCTACCAGCCATGAAGCTCAGGCCACCAGGGAAATTTTTCGAGCTTTATATCTGATGGAAACACGGGTAAGACATGTGCAGATCAACACAGCTAAAACTTACCAATCAACGACTTCATCTTTGGATCCTCTTGGAGCTCTGCATACATCTTTCCTGCTCCTGACTGCTTGAGGTCCTTGTTGAACTTGTTGTATTTTCTTCTAAGTCTGAAACATCTTATCAGTGATTCCAGTGGAAAAATAAATGACACAGGAACTAGATACTTACGTGCCGAAATGAGTTGAAACTGGTTTGATAAAGGCCTTAGGGTCCTCTTTGAAGAGTTGTTGAACCTCCAGATCCTCGTCATTCGAAAATACTGCGTGTGCAACCTGTGAATAGACAACATCTCTTGAACTACCATTCTGCTTCTTCTTCTGACCTTGCTCCTTGGCATCCTTTGCCGAATCACAGAAAAGCTTGATTCATGCATCGTCATTTTCCTTGCACCAGGCAAGTAAGTGTTCAGTATGAGCACCACGGTGTAGAGACTCAATCCTGAGTAGCCTCACAATGGCATATATTGCAACATAGGTCGAGTCTACAGTAATATGCATGCAACGCGACACTTGTGCGATAAACGCGACGTTCGCGCGACGCACGCAACATAGGCGACACTTCCGCGACATAGGCGACACTTCCGCGACATAGGCGACACTTCCGCGACTTGCGCGCGCTTTAGGCGAACTTTCCCGCGCCTAAGCGCTATAGGGCGCCTGACTTCCCACTGTGTTTTCCCATGTCCAACCAAGTTCCCAGGTATGCATTTCTCCATTTATCATTTGTTTCAACATCGTACCATGTTTATTTTCACTTGGTACACATGTTTCATTACACATTTTTTTACTTTACACAACACACATTACCACGGACCACCATCATCATAGACAGTCACCATCTCCGAGTTTTTATTATGTTTTGAATAAATCATCGCAAGCCCTAGTAGCAGTTAGCTCTAGTGGCCATATCCGCATCAGTTGTCTTATCAGCATCTCAGTACACGTCTTAACATCTCACTATCGCTCGCATACCGCTTTCACCCAGTTCCGCTTTTCGACGCACGCCTATAGCGCCTTTGTTCCCACGCTTTCGCCTTATCACGCGCTTTGCGCATTCCCCCTAGAGTTGACCAGTGGATATTTGCTTTCTCCGCTTCCCCTAAGGGACGAACATATCGCACTCATATTTTCCTCCCTTCAACAATTATATCAGCTGCACCCTCAGCTGAGTTGAAGATCCTTCAATGGACCCCCTCCCAGTGAATGGTACACTTCTTCTCAGTGTCCGTACTGGCAGGTGCATTGGCCCGGACACCTCCACCCTGACCTCTCTGATTTGAGTGTGACATGATCTAGGGTGTGCTTAATGACAGTGATTAAAGATCAGATTAAGGCTTTAGCAGCGTCAATGCCGGTAATGACGATGTTGAGCACACTGGCTGGCAGGGCAGGTCGGAGTTTGAAACCTGCCGTACCAGCAGCATCTGAATTTGCAAAATTTCTCTGTGAATTTCTTAGAAGGTTCGACTTTGAGAACCATTAATATGAGGAGCTTATTTACTGTTATCCAAATTGATCTTTTTTTTGTAGTGCATCCACAATTCAGCATCAAGGACTTCTTGTGCAAGTTGTGGCGCATCTCGATGATCTGGAGTGGGATGTGTTAGAACAGCCTGTAGACACATTTCTAACTTTGCCACCTGCAAAATGCTTGCCAGGCAGGTGGGTAAAACCCAAGCTTTGCAGGGTTCTCTTGGATTATCTTGACCCTTCACTTATTTCTGCGTGAATCTGGCTCATCAAGTGTAGCACGACTGGAGGAAGTGCTTTGCTGAGATGGAGAATGATGATGAAAAGACTGCATGCGGGGGGGACACTGAGATGTGTGTCTATGAGGTGATGCCAAATGCCGATATGGAGATCTTGAGTGTGTAGAATGGCAAGAGTGCATGTGGGAGGAAGAAGGGTGCGTAGATGACACACACTGAGATGTGTGTCTATGAGGCACCACTGAACGCCAATATGGAGATATTGAGCATCTAGAATAGTGAGAGTGCATACGGGAGGAAGAAGGGCGCGTAGATGGCACACACTGAGATGTGTGTCTATGAGGTGACAGAGAGCGCTGATCTGGATACCTTGAGTGGGCAGAAGTAATGTGAGGTGAGCACTCACAAATTCACACTAGAGCAGAAGACCCAGTAGACACCACACGTCGAGATGACGGTCAACAAGGAGACTTCAAGTGGCTAGAAGCATGTCTGCATTCATTATGTTTAGTCTTTGATAGATAAGTTATGGAGGGAGCCTTGTGCTGTCCATTCTTCATTTGATGATGCTTGAGAACATCAAAAACTTCCTGAAGAGCATGTGAGAAGATTAACCTCAAGACAAAAATTCAAACACTTTCCTCTGTTTTGTCTCTGGCTGTGTCGTTGAGCTCATTATCAAAATCATCATCAATACAATTGTCCTGAGTGTCAGGCTCATCATCAAAATCCCCATCAATACCTTGGTTGAAATCCCTAAGTATCAGGCTCTAGAACCTTCCAGAACCTTTCTGCAGCAGCCACATGTTTCATGACATCATAGTGTAGTTATATTCAAATCATTGTATGATTCTCTTTTCTATTTAATGATTGGTTAGTTAGTTCAGATTCAGATTCAGTCTCCGCTTTAGTATATAAGTTATTGATTATAGTCGGTAGTTCTTTAGTTCAAACCTCTTGTGTATTAACTCATTGCTAGCAATCCAAGACATACCTGCTTATCCTTTTCTTGTTGTGATATCCTTATTTGAGTCCTAGTCTCTGCCCCTGTGTTAATTCATTATAAGGATTGTGACAGATACCATGTTCTGGAGCTTGACTTTCAGCCTCCTCCTCATGGGTATGCTCATTGGACTGTGGTGCCTTCTGGACATTCTGACTGCTAGTTAAAGTGGGCTGCCTAAACCCAAACCTATCTGAAGAGTGAGCTGCGCTTGGGGCTGTTCAGAGAGATGCGGCAGAATGTTGGTGTCCTGAATTGACATTCTTGTTGATACCAATGGAACACTGAGTAAGATTGGTGCTCCTGGTCAAAGACCTCTTAGTAGTAGCCTGGAAGAACATTAGCTTTTGGGAGTTCATATTAGAATGTCAAGTATACACTTTTTTCTTTGGTTTCCAGTGCTGGGAAGGAGCCATGAGATTTTCTTCTGCATCACTAATGTCAAGAGTGGTCTCCTTCCGACCTTTTCTTGCTGGGGCCGCTAAGGTTTCTCCAGCTTCTTTCAACTGGTCTGCATGTCCACCTTGGCCTTGTGTAGATCTCTCACTTCATTGAGTAACCTTGGAGACTTTGTATAAGCGCTTGCCCCTCTTCTTTGGAGGCATTGAGCGACAAGGTGGGAACTATTGAGACTTGGTTCCAAAACCTTTCACCACCAATCAGTACCCAGAGTCATATCACATAAGCTGATGTTTGATGTACTAAACCAGTACAACAGAGTACATGTACAGGTACAGTAGGACTCCGAATGTAATAATAGTGTAAAAATAATTAGAGGGTACAACAAGTTGAATTTTGACAGTGGGAGAAGCATATTAAGAGATACGTGAAGGATAAGAGACTTAAGAATTTATTGAGTAGGTTGAGGACTCCAGCATGGGTCATCTCTACCTGATCTTGGGGCCCATTCACACTGTAAACCATGGTACCCCCATTTCTGGACAAGAGGTCTGAATTCCATGAAGTATTTGGATGTCTTATCAACAAAGAATCTGCCTTGCATCAAAACCCCCATCTTCATGAAACAGATCACACTTAGAGCCAAATGGGTATCTGCCTTGCCCAAAGCCTCATAAGTGCTCGCCCACAGCAAAGTTCACTGGGACCAGGTGGGTGGCAATTGGCCATGTGGCACCCCATACTTAGCAACAAATTTGAAGAAAATATAAAATAAGGACTCGAGGTCATCACTGGGCCAGTGTTCGATTAGAACTGTATCAACATCAACATTCTGCAGAGTATTGGCAGCCTGTGGAATAAGGCCAATGTTGTTGTCCACCTCAAAATCATCCAGATCGTTCGGATCAGTATCCTGGCCTGGGATGTCGGCGTCAACCTCGGGTGGAGCTAGATCCAGCATAGCCTGAAGAATATAGATAGAAATGTAGGGCATGGTCCCCTAGAAAATGAAATGAACAATGAATAGCTAAAATGCACACTGAAATTTACTATACCATGTGAATAGGTGCTATTCATGCCTTCCACTAGAATCGAGGCATGATCAAAATCAATGAAGTAACCAATACCATCATGAACAACAAAATTATTGGGACTGAGGTCCCCATTGCAAAACTCGCCTCCCAATCATCGTGTGATAAGCTGAAAATAAAAAGATGATACAAGTATTTTGCATGCTCAATAAGACTCACCAACTACAAAGGCATGAAAGGCGGTGAGCAGCTCTCATCTAGAGCTGAATTTAGATAATGGCTGTCTGCAGGGGGACAAGAGAATGCGGTGGTGGAATCTGTTGTGGAACATCAAGTCATCCTGATGGCCCATGTCGTATTGGCTGTGAATGAGCACTGTGCAGTCAGGCTCCCCCTTGTAATATGCATCCCAATGGTCTATGAGTTTGACAATGTTAGGGATGCCCTTGACCATCTCCAGGATGGTTGTTTCATTCATTCTTTCTCCTCCATCACCCAACAATCTTTTAAAGTGTACTCATTCCCTGCCTCATCAGCGACACAATAACAAACCATTGTAGAGACTCAAGTCTCTGCAGGTGCATATAGCCCATGTCATGACTCATGGCAACTGGCCTTTACTGCACAACTTGCACCATCATCCATATGCGACTTCTATCATGTCTCTAGTCATTCTGCATGCAATACGCAGCTTTCCTGCGAAACGCACCATAGGCGCACTACTTTCCCACACAATGCGCAGCATTCCCCCGTGCGCTTAGCGCATTGCTTGCACGCCTTGCACGCTTTCTCGCGCTTAAGCGCACTGCATCGCGCATCATCCAGGAGCATCCATCCATCGTCCAACCAGTTCCTAGGTGTGTCCCTTTTCATTATCAGACCATATTTAGCATATTACACTTTGTATTTCGTTATGCACCCTTACTTTACATCACTTTACCTCACTTACATACTTAGAGCACTCCCTATTTGGCTCCGAGCCCTGGGAGAGTGCTTAGGTAGAACTTACATACTTTCATGTTCGTTTATACCTTACCTTTTACCTACCATCTACCTACTAGCTTGGGGCAGTCACCATCTATCACCAGTTATTTCCATGCAATGCATGTATCCATCATCATCTTAAGGCCCTAGCATCAGTCTAAAGCTAGTGGCAGTAACAGTATCTATCTATATCCATGCTTTTCATCATATCATCGTCTCTCTACACTTGTGCACTGCTCGCACTACCATCCCTGTTCTCTGTGCCTTTTCACATTTTTGCTTTTTGCACTTTCACCTTCCCACACTTTGTGCATTTTCGCGTTTCACTTTCCCATGCGCGCCTTCAGCACGTTTCTCGTGCTTACATTGCCTTTTGTCGCCTTTGATCAAGATTAATCAGCATCATTCTGTGGATCCTTGCTTTCCTTGCTTCCCCTTTAGGGTCGAATGTTCTTGCATTCTGTGAGTATAGCAGCTAGGCAGAGCTTAGACTCACTTATACTGGTTGAGCATTTTATTTCTTAGTGCCTAGCCAGGTTGTGATCTGCACACTGTTTCACAGCAGAAAAGTCCATGGCTCTTCTACAGAATCTCCATGATAGAATATGTTTTCTCACAGTTATCCTTCACCCAGCCCTCCACCCCATGTGCTAAATTTGGATGGGTTCCTGTGCATACAGTGTTACACATGTGGATCATCGGGTTGAAACCCAAATGGTGGCTATCTGGTAGAGTGAGGGTACCCAACATCTCTGTGAGTCATATGGGGCCTGTGTTTTGATTGATGTGGAAAGGATAGGATATGATGAGACTGGAGCAGTCAAAGTAATGTACACAAAGCTGATTGGCACAAATAGAAAACACAATGACGAATCAATGCCATAGTTGTTCTCTTAGCATTAGGTAGGCTTTGATCACAGATCCCTAGAACACTGGTATATTCCACTTTTTAGCAAGATCGCTGGAGGTATGCCCCACAAAGGACAGGATGTCTGCCCATGTGTTAAGACCGTGCTCAAGGGGTAATGAATCCGAAGGGCTTGGCCTCAGCTCATGTGCTGTGCCCCTTACCTGAGTATGGTGCCCTTGATTTTGGATAAAGTCCAATGATGGTCCGATGAAGTCCAAAGGACTTCCGGAGGCTGGCTACTCTGGTAGAGTGCTAGAGGACTTCTGGAGGAGCATGGGAAATGTCCAGAAGAATGTGAGAGAGTTCTGGAGGAGTACAGGAAAGTACAGAGGAGTTTCTGCTGCACGGAAGTAAAGAGATCCCTAGGCAATGCCTCTAGAGGATACAGAATTGACAGGAGACTGCAAGGGATAAAGTCCAAAGCAGGATAGGATATGAGGAGTGGAACTACATCAGGAGGATAGGTCTGGAAGTCCAAAGGTCAGGAGGACAGGAGGTCTGAAGGTACAAAGGACAGGAGGACAGGATATAGTTCCAGAGGTATGGAGTAGAGATAGGGGCTACATCAGATGTGGTCTGAAGTAGAAACAAACAGAGGTAGACTACACTTAAGTGAAGATGGAGTTGACAGGAAGCAGACAGAAGTCTTGGAAAGAGAGGAAGTGCCAGAAAGGCAACTCTACAGGAGTTGTACAGAGGTTTATATACTGGAGGACATATGAGGGGATCAGTAAGCAGAGGACTAAGGCTATATATGAACATGTGGAAACACATTAGTAAGTGAGACGGAACATAAGTAAATGAACTTGGAGATGAAATAGAGTACAAGGATCAATAAGCAAGATGAAAACACAGATAACTGAAGTCCGGAGTCAAGGGGATTACCATAAGGGGATAGATGCTGATTTAAGGTTTGAGTCTGGATATAAAGGTACAGATCCATATATCAGATCAGGCATCTGGATATCGGATGTGTGAAGGTGCATGGATCTGAACTGATAGTGGACTGGAGGTCTGGAGGCATGGATAAGGGTATGGAGGTCCGGATGTGCATCCAGAAGGCGTGGGAATATCATTGGATGTAGGTCTGGAATACAGGATATGACACTATGTCTTACTTGTGTTTTTGAGGGCGAAGTCAAACAGGGCTATGTCGGGCTTCTGGCAGTTGTATTCGTCTGGTATAGGAAAGTTGGCAAACTCTGCAGACCAGTACCGGGATCCAGCCGAGATATTGAAAGGGAGGTGATACTGGATGGTGTAGAAGAGACACTGGAACTCTTTTGGGAACTCCATGTTTCTGTTTCAGATTGGCCATGAATCACTGAGTCCAAAGAGGCCTCTATGCCAAGCACTGCACCCTTGATCTCTGCATCATTCATACCTGTATCACCATCCTCTGTAACATCATCCTCTGCATTCTTGTCGTCTGTATCACCCAAATCCTTTACATCCTCACCATCTGCACTACTGTCCTCTGTATCATCATCTTGCTCATACTTTGCGCCACAAGCATGTTTGATTCCTTTTCTCCTGTGGTGGAATTTCCATTTGCCTCTGGAGTATGCAGATAGTCCTGTTCTGTTGTACTGAATTGTCTTGATGTTGCTTAATTAGAGAGTAGTTTTAATCACAAGATGATAGAAAATGGAGTCCTCCAACAGTATTCCAGTTTCCCTTCCAGTACCTTCATGAATCAAGTAGTTTTTCAGCTTTTGCCTGAGGAGAGCTTGCATAGTGTCTAAGGTGCATGGGCTAGAAGGGACACTGACAGAGCTTATGGTTGCACAGAGCAAGAATTTGTTGATGTCGGATTGCTGGGATGGCCTAGTGGCTGCATGTTGATGGTTTGTTTGAGTCTAGTGGTCAATACTCAATGTTGTCCAGGCATGCAATTGCTGATTGGGCATTGTCCAGGCACATTCCCTATCTGTTATCATTATAGATCAAAACATCAGAATCATCAGAAAACATATCTGAGCACTATGTGTAACATTTTATCTATCTATCTGTTATAAGCATGATAAAGCACATAATAAAGTTGCTTGTTAAAGTACTTGTTTAGAAAAAATGATGAAGAATAATGTGTAGAAGTCTCCTTTGTCAACTGCACATCCACTGCAGCTCCTAGCTCAGGTATTATACTAATAAAGGCATACATTTGCTTGAGGGGAACTATGTTACCTGCTGGAGTACCATCCATATGCTTAGCATGTTTCAATACGTGCATTCCAGTGACAGGATAGACTGCGCCAACCTTCATGCTATGCATGTAGTATAGATACTGATCTCACCAAGTAATATGGGAACCTTATTGGGCCATTGGATGAATGATAAGCTGCACTTCACAGATGGTGTGCCCTTCCCAGGAGTCACACTTTAGTTAGATTGATAAGAGTAGAAAAGGACTCACCCCTTAACCCTGACTGGGGCCACTCGTACTCTCTATCAACGTTGATAAGGATGGTGTCTTGTCAGCATTTTCAGCCACTCAGGGCATGGTGGAGAGGCATGCAAAGTTTGCACTGGTAAGATGATGCAAAAGGCAGAGTAGAAGGATGGTTGATCAATGATCTTCCTGAGATTCCGACCCCATGAATCACATCTCTGTTTCTCGCATCAAGTCACAAGAAGTTTGAAAATAGCATCATGAATATCCAGTATGTTGAACTCATCTGTGACATCATCAATATTCATTCCAGTGCGAGTTGGACTATAGTTGAGATGGATCATGGTATTACCAGCAGTAAATGTTTGAGGAGGATAAGGGCTAAGTCCACAAGATACAGTAGCTGCCTCCCTAGCTTTTATGAAGTAGTTAGTAGTGACATGTGTGTGATTAAGCCCCTCTAGGAGTACAGTTCATTGAATCAGTAGACAATTATTTGAGCTCAGCAATCTCTTCATCATCTCCATTGTCCATGGGTGATTCTTTGGGATCTGAATCAAAGATACCACTCTTCAACATCATAGCAATCACAAATCGCTGCAGCTTTTCCTGTTGATCTAAATGACAGCAAATCTGAGGATCATAATTGTTATTGTTGGTTTGTTGTGCAGGTTCTTTGATTTTGGACATCTGCGCATGTTCAGTGGCATCCGCAGACCACTGGATGAGGGCTCCAACTTTATGTATGCTGGCGCTGATGCTCTCCATTAGCTCTAGCTTAGGTATATGCCAATTGTCAATCATCTTCTTTGTACCAGTCTGTGCACCCAATGTCATGATAACATCTTTGTTTTGATGAAAGGTCGAAAGAGATTGGTCAATAGATGCCAATAAATTGTCATCCAGAGAAGGGGATTGTGACATATACTGAGCATCCATAAGGGCACAGATCACAATCACGAATTAACAAGGGGCTGTGCTGACGATGAGACCGATGATGTAACACTGAAAATCACAGTGACTCTGCCTGTAACTTGCTTGAGCTTCATTATTCTGCCATAATAGTGATGATAGCCTGTGACTGGCTGCAAAATTGAGTTCCTGAGCTTCAACAACCACAATGCATCACTGAAGGTTGTGATCAAAAAATTGCTTGTGCTAGTGATGCAGGGCCTCTGGAGTTAGAAAGACCAAAGGGCAAGCAAACAGTCAATCTTGCCAGAAGGGTGCATGGACACTGTTTAGACGATGGAAAGACATTGATGTATGAGGTGGTCTTCAAGAACACCTTGCATCCATTGATTAGAGTGTAAGTACTGTGGGATAGGGAGGAGTGCTGTGAGTAGGAAGGCCCTGGATGAGAGTTTCATGCAAGTTTGCAATGCGGATATTAGCAAGTGTTACAAGAACATCGGGCCTCTTTAGCCCCTATTCATTTTCCCTTCACCTTGTCTCACTTTGTACTTACTATGTCATCTCACTTCTGAATGCACAGCCCCTTTAGATCACTATGCATGTTTTACTGTTACCGTTGCCTTCGTTTCTCTGACTCACAACCCTATGCCCTTACCACCTGACTGGGTACTTATCTCTGACTCACTTTCCCCTTTACCCTTACTGCCCAACCAGTGCTATCTTTACCTATGACTCGCTCTGACTCATTCCCCCTTTGCCCTTACAACTAATTTGGCAAGTCCTACCCTCAACCACTTCCTACCTATATATACCAGTAGGGTATTGCCTGTATTCTCTAACTTGAATCTACTTGGTTCTATCTGCCTATCTGCTAGAAGCCCTAAGCAAGCTTTGCTCTCTCACTCAGAATTCTGTTAGACTTGATGTCTAGCAGTCTTACCTTTGAGGGATACAATTAGAGACACACCATCCTAATTGTCAATAACTTTGATGTCAAGACAGATGTCATCGTTGCTGCCAAACTCTTGCTATCAATGACCACTGGTCTCAGCAGGCTTATCAAGAGCCCCTATCCAAGTTCCAGTTGTGAACACACACTGTTCATAACAGTGAGACTAAGAAGAAGCAGGTGAGCAACCCTAGCGCCAGTCATAGTGGCGATATTTGTTTTGTTAGAAGAAAGAATTGTGCCAAGAATTGTAGCGCTTCTGGGTACTTGACTCTGTAGGGCCTATGTAAGACAGTGCACATTATAGGGTTTAGGTGCGCATACCTGGAACTCCCAAGTAGAATTGCCTGTCAGCCACTCTGGATAAACATGGGTAAGCCATGCTGCCATTGTGTACACACGACGAGGGACAAAATCAAGCTTGTCATGGAAAAGGGAGTTGCCGAAGAGGGCTTCCAGGCATTTAACCAGATCCCTCCCAAAAGTCAGATTGGATTTTGTGGTGTGATGGAGAGATGAGATAATTTGACACTTCCAGCTTGGTCCCTTGGGTAGCATCTCAGCTTGGCTTCACAATTCTTTAGTGGTACTGAATGACAGCTTTAAAATCCATGGATCTGTAAAGTAAGGTCGTGATTAGTAAAAGTGCAAGAAGGATATCAAGAAATACAAGAAGGATAAGAGACTTGAGAATTGCAAGAAGAGAAGATACTCCAAAGTTGTGAGTCCATAAGATCTCAAAGTGCCAGCCATCAGGGAATTGACCTGAAATGACAAAGCCATGTAAAGCTTTGTCTATTATAAGATTTATATAATATCTATCATAGTTGCACTCAGCCTGACAAAGCTTTAGATAGGCAGGTTATGTTAGTGAAAATCACCAAGACACAATCATGATACATATTGTGAACACCTGCCATCCTTGACAAAGCTTAGATAGGCAGGTTATGTTAGTGAAAATCACCAAAGACACAATCATGATGAATATCTATAATGCTAGACTACTTCAAATAAAAACTATCACTAAATTACAAAAGTCTCAATCTTGACACCCGTTTTATAAATCAAATCAAGTTTTATTTTGGGTTGGGGCATACATAGTAGTATTACTACAGTGAATCAAGTTGAAAATGGCAAAATGAAAATGAAATGAAAAATGCGATGTAAAGGTAAGGGGAGGTGAGGTCGTGGAATATGGGAGATAGATGAGTATCACCCGCCAGGTAAGCAGGTCAAAAGACGAGGGTCATGCACTTCCTGAGAGCACAACATGGCTGCGGCAGCACCAGTGTCAGTAGGCAGGTCAAAAACACAAGATCATGCACTCCCTGAGAGCAGGACATGGCCATAGCACAGTCAGCATCGCCTAAGAACCTCAAAATACAATAATCACACCAAGACTGAGAGTGGGACATGGCCATGGCACTGTCAGCATCCGCTAAGAAGCTTGAAAGACAATCACGCACATTCTGAGAGTGGGACATGGCTGTGGCACCATCAGTGTTGCCTAAGAAGCTCGAGAGATGAGATCACGCTGTAGAGACTCGCGTTTGAGCAGGCGCAGATGGGCCCATATTACGAATTTGACAACTGGCCTTTACAGCACAACTTGCACCATCATCCACATCCGACTTCTACTATGTCACTGGTCATTCCACATATCATGTGCAGCTTTCCTGCGAAATGCGCCATAGGTGCGCTACTTTCCCGCACTATGCGCAGCATTCCCACACGCAGGCCTTGCGCACTTTCTCGGGCATCATCCAGGAGCATCCATCCACTGTCCAACCAGCCCATTGGTATGTATTAGTTTGCTATTCTTACTATTTTCCATTACCTTTCATTATTACATACTTTGTATGGCACCATTTTCTTAGGCCAAGTAGGCATTACATACTGCTTACATCACACTGGTTCACTTTGTGTTGAGCCGAAGAGGCATTGCTTACTTCTCTTACCACCCATCTACTACCACTTAGAGGCAGTAGAGAGCCACACTATAGACCAACAATCATATTTCCACTTGACATAGACTTTATCTTGCATCAAGAACCACTGTTCTCGCACTTTGCGTGCTTTGGCACTTTTCCCGCTGTGAAAGAGAAATAGCAACTTTGCTGTTAGAAACTAGCGCTACTTATCCAAATAGGTGCGAGTGTAGTATTCGACCCAAGAGGACTGCTATTGAAGCAACTCCCTACTAATAGCAAGGGAAGCGATAGCGCGAAGGACTACAAACCTATAGCAACCTAAGACCAAAAACCAATGAGTGACGCTATAGTGATCAGCGACAAGTGAGTTCCAATAGAGAAACATGCGTATAAGTGAGAAGCGCTATGCAAGTTGTTTTATGTGATAGTGTTATGTGACGTCCGACTAGCAACAGCAAGAAGAAATCAAAGGGAGCAAAAGCGGGGAGTAAGATAAGACAGTGCAAGTGAAATGCCTGGTAGCGACTAGATTGTAGCTCGATTACTGATAGCGATCCCGACGTTGCGAAAGTCAAACTTAAGAGGGAACTTTAGTGACGCGCACTTAAAGCAAGTCAAGCGAACTAGGATATAGTGACTAAAGTGACACTGGCGAGGGCACAATGTAGTGACAGGTAATAAAACATGCAGCACTGTGGAACACGAGGATACATGTAATAGGACCTGCAACTGATGAGTAGCGACATTTAAGGAAAAATAATGCACCAGCGGAGGTAGGTGGACATAGGCAGGACATGGGAGGATGAAATACCTAGGCATCGGACCGGGCAGCACGCTATGGGAGAAAAGTGGTTCCAAAGCGGATAACTTGGGAATGATAGCGCTGGTGACTAGCGCCTTACTCTTTTTCCTCTAGGCAAGGCAAAATATGCCTATGACACTCATACACGCTGTGGGTATCACAACCTGGCAGGCACATATAAGAAAAGTGCTCAGCCAGTATAAGTGAGTCTCAGCTCTGCCTAGCTGCTATACTCGCAGAATGCAAGAACGTTCAACCCTAAAGGGGAAGCAAGGAAAGCAGGGATCCACGGAATGATGCTGAACAACCCTGGTGAATGGTGGTGAAAGCGCGAGAAAACGCGCTGAAGGTGCGCGCGGGAAAGCGAAGTGCGAACGTGCGCGAAGCGCGGGAAGGTAGTGCAAGCGGTGCACAAGTGTAGAAGACGGATACTGATAGTGCTACTAGCTATAGACTGATGCTAGGGCCTCAAAACGATGATGGACACATGCATTGCATGGAACTAACTGGTGACAGATACTGAGTGGTAGGAAGCTACTGGTGGTAGGAAGCTAAGGTGCAAAAGTTGGGTGTAAAACGAACATGAGAGTATGTAAGTTCTACCTAAGTGCTCTCCCAGGGCTCGGAGCCAAATAGGGAGCGCTCTAAGTATGTAAGTGAGGTAAAGTGATGTAAAGTAAGGGTCCATAACGAAATAGGAAGTGTAATATGCCAATATAGTCAGATAATGAAAGTGGACATACCAAGGGACTGGTTGGACGATGGATGGATGCCCCTGCATGATGCGTGACGCAGTGTGCTTAAGCGCGAGAAAGCACGCAAGGCGTGCGTGCGGGAATACTGCGTGTTGTGCGGGAAAGTATCGCGCCTATGGCGTGTTTCGTGGGAAAGTGGTGCACTCTATAGGGAAGTCATAGTGGATGATAGTGCGAGTCGTGCCATGAAGGCCAGTTGTTAGAATTCGTAAAATGAGCCCATATGAGCCCACAGAAATGCGAGTCTCTACAGCGCCTAGCGCTGGTATGATTATCACACCGCGCTCAGCGCATTCCCTTGGAGGCTCATTTCGTGGATCCTTGCTTTCTTTGCTTCCCCTTTAGGGTTAAACATTCTTGCATTTCTGCAAGTATAGCAGCTAGGCAGAGCCAAGACTCACTTATACTGGTCGAGCATTTTAGATATTTCATATCAGCCCAGCCAGGTTGAGATCGCCTCAATGCACATTCTGAGACTGGGACATGGGTGGCACCATCAGCGCCACCTAAGAAGCTCAAAAAACGAGACCACGCACAGACTGAGAGCAGGACATGGCCATGCACATACTTCAGTCATGACACTACGTAGAACCGGTACCCCCGGACGTGAAAAATGGTCATAGAATGTGTACCAGCCAGCTGCAGCCAATCCACGTACATTGCCACCGGCCAGACACCCAGGGTGGAGCTGGCCGGTGGCCCAAGTTGGACTGACTGGGCTGTGGTCACAATGGGTATAGCCAGTGCTGGCCGACATGTACATGCTGACACATGGACCGGCCAGAAGCAAGATCAGAAGATGCAAAGGTCAGTCGGCCGGTGCTGTAGGTATAACTCTGCATGTACCGGCCGGAAGACTATGTGGTGATGTAGAGGTGGGCAGGCCGATGTGGTAGGTATATACACTTGCCATAGTTAACTAACCTGGCCTGAACAGAATCAGATATGTGAGACCCTTGATCCAAATCAGTATGGTTAACCATATTGAGCTCTATATAGAACATTATCATTATTAATATTGCTAGCTCAACCCACCAACCTGGCATTACCACCAGTATTGAAAGTACCGTGTTCTCATTGGTCACCAACCGGGCATGGTTAACCAACCAACCAGAACAAGATATACTGGTACAGGGAACACTATCTATCAAAGAAAACAGATAATGTAGAATGATCAACCTATGGACAAGAACACAGTATTTTCAATATCATGTTGACTGTGGGTATTGAAAATATTGTGTTCTTGTTGGGTCTGCCGCCAACCAGGCATAGTCAACCAACCTGGCATGGCTGCCGGTATTGAAAGTACTGTGTTCTAGTTGGCCACCAACCAGGCATGGTTAACCAACCTGACATGACCGCCAGTATCGCAACTATCTTGTTCGTGTTCACCATATCTCCCAACCCAATCTCAGTCACCAACACTGTCTTTTGGATATGGTTGTTGAATTGCTGGATACTGTCATCCGGCGCTGGGATCACCACATCTCCTGAGCTGATCTCAGTTACTAATGCCAGCATCACCATATCTCCCGAGCTGATCTCAGTCACTAATGCCAGCATCACCATATCTCCTGAGCTGATCTCAGTCACCAATGCTGGCCACCAACCAGGCATGATTATCCAACCTGGCATGGTCAACCTCCCAGCGAGAATGTGGTATTTTCAATATCATGTTGACTGTCAGTATAGGTTAACCATGCCCAGTTGGTGGCAGACCCAATGAGAACACAGTATTTTCAATACTGACAGTCAATGTGATATTGAAAATACAGTGTTCTCACCAGTAGGTTTACCATGCCAGGTTGGTTAACCATGCTGGTTTCACCATGTCTCCCAAGCCAATCTCAGTCATCAACACTGTCTTTTTGATACCGTTGTTGAATTGCTGGACACTGTCATCTGGTGCTGGGATCACCATATCTCCCGACCCAATCTCAGTCACCAATGCTGGCCACCAACCAGGCATGGTTAACCAACCTGGCATGGTCAACCTACTGGCTAGAACACAGTATTTTCAATATCAATATCATGTTGACTGTCAGTATAGTATTTACAATATCATGTTGGCCACCAACCTGGCATGGTCAACCAACCTGGCATGACTGACCAACCAGAACAAGATATATGGTATGGAGAGCACTATCTATCAAAGAAAACATATAGATAATGTAGAATGGTCAACCCATGGACAAGAACACAGTATTTTCAATATCACGTTCTTGTTGCCCACCTGGCATGGTCAACCACATCCAGCTCTACATAGAACATTATCTATCTACATCCCTGGCCTAAGGGAAGAGCAATCAGTACATCAGGTATACTCCATCCTGGCCACATAATGAATTTGCCTACCAGTCATACATAGTGCCCCAGCCGGCTTTGGCAGGGCAAGAGCGTCCGGCCGGTCAATCAGTACATCAGGTGTAGTACATCCTGGCCACATAATGAATTTGCCTACCAGTACATAGTGCCCCAGCTGGCCTTGCCAGGGCAAGAGCGTCCGGCCGGTCAATCAGTACATCAGGTGAAGTACATCCTGGCCACATAATAGATTTGCCTACCGGTCGTAGATAGTGCCCTGGCCGGCTTTGGCAGGGCAAGAGAGCCCATCCAGTCAGTCAGTACATCAGGTGCAGTACATCCTGGCCACATAATGGACTTGCCTACAATTCATAGATAGTGCCCTGGCCGGCTTTGGCAGGGCAAGGGAGCCTGGCCGGTCAGTCAGTACATCAGGTGCAGTACATCTTGGCCACATAATGGACCTGCCTACCAGTTGTACATAGTGCCCTGGCCGGCTTTGGCAGGGCAAGAGCTCCTGGCCAGCACATCAGTACATCAGTTGCACTCCATCCCTGCCACACAATTGACCTGGAATAAATACAGTATGCTACGAGCCGTAGATAGTGACCTGGCCACTTGCTTCATAAGGGAGCAGAATCTGGTCGGCACATCAGTACATCAGGTGCCCTCTGTCCTGGCCATACAATCAGGTTAGAATAGCACAGATAATACAACATTTAAGTGACTACAATCATCTTGTCCTTGAAAGAATTTTCCCCCTCCAGTAAGAACCTTCCCCACAAGAGCACTTGTCACTGTGCATAAGCTTGATGACCACACTTTGTAGCTTGGTGGTATCGTCGTTCTCATGCTTCCTTCTTGTATCTGAACCAGCCCACTGTCCACCCCATCTCATGTCGGACTAAACTCAACTCCTCCTCCCACCTTTGCCATCTTGCCTTAGCTTTCAACCAATTTACTCTGTAGACTAATACTTGTCATGGGAGAAAATCTGAATATTAAGCATAACTCACATTCATCCATCTATATGTCTTCATGAGAATCACGACTGTTGTTGACCCTCCAAAACCAAGCCAGTTGGTCAGATCCCTGCCCATATCTATTCTCCTCGGTGACTTCCTTGTCTACACTAAGCTGGGTGAGCAGAATTTCTTGATAAACATTCCAGAGGGTATCATTGTCTACTCCTAGTCTCTGCATGGCATTCCTTGCCCTCTGATAGCTTTGGACACACTTATCTATTTTGATTTCGACAACGATGAGCCTCTTGCTTTGATCTGGTGCCCACCCATGTGGAATCTGCGCTTCGGAAGTGCTGACGGTAAATTATTGCTTTATGACCCAGAGCTTGCCGTAACTTTTCCAAGCAATCATTTGCCTGACCCTGCTGTAATTGCAGTTCCTCGGCTTGCAGAGCACCTAGGCCAAGGGCTAAAGCATCTTGGTGATGAATCGAAGATGGCATCCAAATACCCATTCCTTCTGCAGCAACTTCCTCACCAGTCTCTTCCTCAGCAACTTCAAGATCTGCAGCTTCATGGCCTTGCTCCTCCATATCTGCAGCACAAATCTGATGTCATCCACATGCTCCATACCTGCATCAACTTCAATGCCATCTGACATGGCATCAGCTGTTTCATGAAATTTTGAGATCCGAGCAGCTACTTTTTGTCGCTTCTCTTCAACCACTGCCTTTTGAGAAGCAGATGCATCTCGGAGAAGCTGCCGAATATCTACCCTCAATGTGTCCCTTGAGCTGAATTAAGACATGCCCTGAATGTAAAAGTGATGTAATGACATACTGCACATCTTCCAAATTGATACCACTGATGAGCCAAGATATTGATCCTGATTTGCCAGTATTGGCATATTCTGTTTCGGTCAATTTTAGCTGAATTTCAGCCATTGTTGGGGCTTCCAATCACCGCATCAGAATATACAGCATGTAGAAGCCAGAAGAACTTCTGAATCACTCACCTTTATCTATCTTTAGCTGGTATATATCAAGATGCTCTCCTCGTTGGTCCATAGCCTGCTTCTCATCTTTCTCCCATGACAAGACTTTGCTGACTTCTAAAGAACGTGTAAGCTCTTCAAATGGCACCTTAGTGTCATCAATGCCCTTTTTTGGCACGTTTGTACTTTTGTAAGAGCGTCTTAACTGCATAAGGCATTCAACCAATATGCAGTTGCCTCCAAATATAAACACTCACCAATACCAACAATGTTTTTCCCAATTCAAGTTCCACATGTGATCATCTAGAATTTCTTGACGGTGGGCTTGGCTCATGGAACGTGTTGTTGGAGAGATCTTGTTAAAGGGAGCCCATAGTGTCTCCAGAATTTCTCCATCAACTTGCCCAGCTCCTACAATGAAGTTCAGGCTGTATCTAGCAAAACAAGCAAGATTATGAGCACTGAGATGAAATTTTCCCACTGCAGCCACAATCTGGGTGTCATCTGGGAGGGTCAAGCCAGTGCAATTGCTGACCCGTTCTGCAAAGTGAAGACTCCACTGGCAACCCACATCATAAATTACCAGGGAGTCATCAATTCTGTCGGCAGCATGCTTAATAGCATTGCATACTGAGTAATCTATATTCATGTGGCTTGAAGTAATTTTGTCATTAAGTCAGTCCAAATTGATCAGTAGTAAATGAAAGAAGACTCACTGTTCGCCCTTCTGAAAGTCTACTATGCAGTGGGGAACAAAATATCCATGGCGAGCACAAGCTGTGGCGCCAACCCCTGTAGCTCGAGGTTGCTTCGGTTTGTGTTTGCTGCATTGACTGCCCGATGGTTGCTACAAGTTGATCTCTTTCAACATATTCAGCCTATTACTAAAAATGAAGACAAGTCAACTAACCTCTTTACTCTCTGTAGCTGAGGCCAAGTGAGCTCGATAGTCTCCCTCTGTGACCATATACCCTAAACCATCTGAGAGGAAGATGTCAAATTCCGGTTGTCTCATGTTCATGTGCTGAGCAGTAAAATTCCCATCTACCACGAATCTCTTCATGACAAGCCACCTGTAATCAAAAGTCAGCAAGTGTTCTGGTCAGTCCCTATTCTTGGCCCGCAGACATTATGCGGTAGGCAGCGCTGGGTCTGGGCGGTCCCATCAATAGGCGGAGTGCACCGGCCGTGCATCACTCTGGCCACTGTACCAGGTGTGCTGACCAGCATCTAGCTACTGTTGGCTTGCAAGAGTAATAAACAATCCACTTGCCTTTCATACTTCTGTTCCCAACAGAGAGGCATGTTGATTCCTGGCTGCGGACATGAAGGGCAGAAAAGGGCAAGATCTCCTGGCCCTGGGCTTGATTCAGTATCATGGCCAAATCCAAACCATTTCCGGTTCTTCAAGTCCCGCCACAGGCGGGATACTCTCATGAGTTCACGATATCGATCCTACAGATGCTGTTGGTATCCGGGACAACAAGAATATATTCTCACTCACCGGGACAGTACCTGGAAATGCATTATTAGTCAGCCTTGTGAGTTTCTCAAAGAAGCTCCTGGCCGAAGTTTTGCATTCCAAGGCATCAATGAGAAAATGGACCAGTACTTCAAAGGTGAAAACAGTCTTGGGCCGAGTGGAGCTGGCAGGAAATAGTCCTGCTCTGAGGAGCTGCAGGTGCTGAGGATTGGATCCTGAGCATTGACACCACAACACATTGTGTGTGAACACCCCGGACGAATGTACCATGGTCACAGGGGTAGTATAGTGAGGTAAGGGGCCTGTCTCTATATTATCCACTCTCTCATCTTGATGCCCATAAATTGTCGAAGCTCCTATTGAAGGACAAGGCTCTCCCCCATGGCCTAAGTACCATATAAATCCCTGGTCGGCAAGAGTGACGTCCTGGAAGCACATGTTGTTCCAAGACTGGATTTTATGGAAAGGCAATGATTGATGCGGTGTGATCAAGCAAGGTTGACACCAGCTGTGATCACCAGTGAAAGTCAGGCAATTGAATATGGCTTCAGCACTTTGACAAGTCTCACAGATCCCTGCACGGGCAAATTTTTTCTGAATCCAGGATGATGTCTAGATATACATCTCAATAAGCAAGATACTCTGCTATGAAGTCGTTTTGTGTCTATATCATGGATTGGAAGGCAGTTCTCAGTAAGTTTGGGACTGCTAAATATACCTTTGTTTTTCTTGGTTGCTGAGCAGCCTCTGCTTCCAGAACAAAGTCACCAAAACATTCCCGATATGACTGATAGACTTCACAATCCGGAAATTCTGTAAGGTTCTCTTTCATTCGTTTCCTTGGGCTGGAGGAGGAAGACTCCGCAGTTGTTTCATACAGTGGATCTGCACACGATTCGACCCATGAGGGTTTTCCCCTCTTGGCTCTGGTAGGTTTGTAGGCAACATAGTCCACATCCAGGTCTTTCTGTTGCGATAGGCTACCTGTCTTTGAAGGAATAAGAAACAGCCTTCAGACATTTTTTTTTCTCCCCAGACATAATGTTTAGACCAAGGGATGATAAGACAGATTCCAAAGTATACTAATCGCTTCAATTTAAAAATAATTTTCATTAAATCTTGAAATATTCCAAGGCTCCCCCTGATGAATAACTATCTCCACTTACTCCCTCTGGACTCCCCCCACAACCCTACCATTCTTTCTGACCTTCTTCCTATGAACAGGTTTTCCTCCCTTACCTGCCCCCACCTTAATGAGAAATTGCGAGTTCATTGGAAAATTTGGCCTAGGAATATCCTGCCTATCATGGACCTTATCCTTGACAAAGTGAGCGATTACGATCCTCTCCCCATCACCCCAACCTGGGACTCCATGCTCCAGCACCTTGCCACAAATGTAAACCATGGTCCCAGGGGGATATTCTAACTTGGCACCCAGGTCAAGCAAATCTAGTATAGCCTGGTGACCTTTGCCAAGGCTGACAAGAAGGTCATAGAATGACTGAGACGCTCCTGGATCCCGGTGATGCGGTGTCCTCTCGGTTGACGATTACTTCAATTCCAGAAAACTCGGAAGGCCAAACCGCCGGATGTGAAGTCTGGACTACTGACTTCAGGTTAGACGTGGACTTCATGCCGGTGTGAAAGAGGAATAGCAACTAGGCTGGTTAGAAACTAGCGCTACTTATCCAAATAGGTGCGAGTGTAATATTCGACCCAAGAGGACTGCTATTGAAGCAACTCCCTTCAAATATGCAAGGGTAGCGATGATGCGAAGGGCTAATAACCTATAGCGACCTAAGACCAAAAACCAATGAGTAGCGCTGTAGTGATCAGCGACTAGCGACAAGTGAGTTCTGCCAGAGAAACGTGCGTATAAGTAAGTAGCACTATGCAAGTTGTCCTATGCGATAGCACTATGCAACGTCCAACTAGCGACAGCAAGAAGAAATCAAAAGAAGGGAAAGCGAGGGATAAGGTATGATAGTAGCAAGTGGAATGCCTGATAGCGACTAGATTATAGCTTGACTACCGACAGCGATCCTGACATTGCGAAGATCAAACTTATGAAGGAACTTTAGCGACGCGCACTTGAAGCAAGTCAAGCGACACGCGATCAGAGAGATTGGCAAGAGCGGAATCGATTGCACCAAAACTAGGATATAGCGACTAAAGTGACTCTGACACCAGCAAAGGTCCGGGGAAGGGAAGTACTGTACTGTATGTAGGATGGGTCATTTTATCATACTGCATAGGGGTTCGGGATGCATAGGCGAGTATAGTAGCGACACTGGCGAGGGCAACGATGTAGCGACAGGTAATAGAACATGCAGCGCTGCGGAGCATGAGGACACATGTAATAAGACCTGCGACTGATGAGTAGTGACATTTAAGGAAATATAATGCACCAGCGGAGGTAGGTGGACATAGGCAGGACATGGGAGGGCGGAACACCTAGACATCGGACCGGGTAGCGCGCTATGGGAGAAAAGTGGTTCCAAAGCGGATAGCTTGGGAGCTGAATAGTGCTGGTGACTAGCGTCTTACTCTGTTCTTCTAGGCAAGTCAAAATATGCCTATGACATTCATATGCGCCTAGCGCCAATATGATTGTCACACACCGGCAAGATACTGATTGGGCACAATAATGCTGGTCACAGCTGACCAGAATTGTTCGGTTGCGGTCATTTCAGACAACCAAACCTGGACTGTAGGTGATGACAGGGAGGGTGATTGGTACAAAGAATCCTGACGCCGCTTATCTCAATTAAGTCAGATTTGTGTTGTGAGACAGATATGAAGACAAATGTACCTCATGATGTTGCATGAACCCACCGGGGCATAAAGTCACCCACCCCACTCCATATTCTCCTCCCCCTTGAGGTATAACAAAACCTTGGGAACGCCAAGGCTGCTTCACCTGATCGGTTGCCTTAGGCAAAGACTGATCGAGTATGGGTCTGAGTAATTTGATGGACTGGTTGATGTGTTCCTAAATATAACCGGTTTAAAGCATGCAACCATATCCATGAGAGTCATACCATTCGATCAGGTACCAATATCTCCAGCAGATACCAAGCCAGTATCCTTCCATGGCTGTCAACCAATGTGGTGGGCTCAGTTATGCGACCAAGGAAGGAGCTTTGAAATATTTGGCTAGTTTCTGTCTTTGCTGAGTGTTGGCATTCAACGGATTTGGCGACACCTTAGCACAGTCCAAATAGCGATCAACATCCCAGTCCGCTTGTACTGGGATCAAATGTTCAAAGGTGGACAGCCGTCATAATCAAATAAAAACCTACAACTATTAACTGCAGCGTAAGCTATGGTTACCGCAGCCCTGGAAATTTCAATATTGGCAATGGCAGTCATTTTGACGTCAGGACCGCTACTAGTAGATAATAAAATGTTCTGCCACTGGTCCCACAGTCTCATCCTTAAATTATGTCCATTCAGCGTTTTGGAACATCAGCTGGGAACTTGCTTACCTGGCTCTTTCTAGTGATTTTTCATCAAGTTTTGTCTGTGAGAACAATTCAAAAGGCAAGGAATTATGCAGTAGTTCATCTACACGGCTGGCAAGGCTTTTGGCCAGCTTGGCCACAGGATCCTCCATTGTATGGTGGAAAGACAAACAGGCGATTGAAAAATTTTCAAGCCCATCTGATCTATGCCGAAAATGGATTTCCAACGTTAATTTAACCAAAATGGAAAATCTGAATGGGGTTAGTTACCAAATTAAGGTCGTTCTTTTTGATCCTGTTGTCTTCAGACTTAAGCTTGGACGAGGTATAAGTAGAATTAGTGGTTTTTTGGCGTGATTTGGCTCTTTTGGCTGTTGCGACATCCAGATACATGCTTTGAAGTGTTTCCGTACGCCAGTTAGCGTCGAGTTTGTGCTTGGATGTGTGTGGTTCTGTAGTCAGTAGTCATATCCAGAGGATTGTTTGGGTGTGTTTACCTTGTATTGCTTCTGTCCATTTGTCCGGTTTTCTCCAAATTTTGACATTTGCGACATCTGAATTGCTCATGTCCAAGGCTTAATCAACTCCAGATAGGGTCTGGTACATTTTCTCTCCTTTCCATAGTGAGTTCAGGCCTCAGGGTTTGTGGCAGGTTCGACAGAGATTTACCAGGTAGCTAGTGTAAGTGAACCAAAAAGAAAAGTAGCACTGGATGGACATAAGATAAATTGCCGCAATGGTTGCTGCTTGGATTCAGACAAAGTAGATTGGTGGTGACTCTGGTTATATATGTACTCTCTGCAATGTCCTGCTGTATCAACGATAGATGTCATATCCCGTATTCCGGACCTTCGTCCGATGATGTTCCCACGCCTTCCAGACGCCTTCTGGATGCACATCCAGACCTCCATACCCTTATCCATGACTCCATACCCTTATCCATGTCTTCAGTCCTCCAGTCCACTATCGGTTTGGATCTGTACACCTTTGTACATCCATATATCCATACCTTCAGACCTCCACAGCTAAGCCTGCTTCATCCACCCTTGGTCCTATCGGATCCGAGCTCATTCCATCTCGGACTCTACCTCCCCTAGGACTATCGGACTATATCCATGATCCATATCCTAGTCTCGTCTTCACCTAGATCTCCGGATCCACTCATCCAATATCCAGATGCTTCATCCGATATTTCTAGACCTCTGGATCCGACCTATACTCATATCTGAGGCCCAAACCTTAAATCAGCGTCTATCTCCTTATGGTAATCCCCTTGACTCCGGACTTCGGTTATCTCTGTTTCCGTCTTGCTTATTGATCCTTGTACTTTGTTCATCTCTGAGTTCATTTACTTATGTTCTGTTCATACTTACTAATATGTTTCCACATGCTCGTACATAGCATTTGTGTTCGGCTTACCGATCCTCTCAGATCCCTTCCAGTATATAAAGATCTGTACAACTCCTGTAAAGTTTCCTTAGTTCGAATATCGCCTTAGACTTTGCTCTGTCTCAACATAGACTTGCTCTCTCGCATCTTAGACTTCACTCATTCTGATCTTGGACTTCGGTCCATCTTAGTAGCCTTTCCCCTCCTTTCCTAATCCTGTCTGCTCCTCCAGGTCCTCGTAAACATTCGGACCTCGGACCTTTGGATGTCGTAACCTTTGGACGACATAACCTTTGGACGACGTACCCTTTGGACGTCTTAACCTTCGGACCTCCGGACGTCCTGTCCTTCAGACCACTCCTCCTATCCTATCCTGCTTTGGACTCTGTCCCTTGTAGCCTATCCTTTATGTGTTTCTATCTAGGGAACTTACCTTGGGAAGTCTTACCTTCGGATCTGATACAGCGGATGAAACTCCTCTGGAAGTTTCTCGCACTCATCTGGAAGTTCTCTAGCACTCTACTAGAGTAGCCAGCCTCCGGAAGTCCTTCGGACTTCGTCGGATTCCATCTGGACTTCATTCTGAAATTAAAGGGCACGTACTTGGGTAAGGGGCACAGCGCACGAGCTGAGGCCAAGCCCTTCGGATCTGTTAACCCTTGAGCTACGGTCTTAACAATAGATATGTTTGGTCTTGGAAGGAGTAGCGCAGCAGTTGGATAGGATCTTGGCTGAGTATATCAGTCACGTGATTTTATACAAGTGTCGTGCCGCACAGATTATACAAGATAAGACTACAAGTAAGCTACATTTAACAAGGCGCTTTAAAGAGTAATACAATTTTAAAAAACTAGCTAATACAAGGCCGCTGTGGAGGGGCCCTCTCCACAACGGTCTTGTATTGCAAACTACAATAGACTACAATGAATGATATAAATGTAGGTAAGGGTAGTGACAATCTAGGAACGCTGATCAGCATCTGTGAAGCAAAATAAAAATATAACTACCTTTGTCCAATGTTAACAGTAAAAATATCTAAAGACAGCGGTCAGCGCTTGTTGAGAAAAGTAAAATTGAATACCTTGGTATGAAGATGGGCCAAGGATGTTGCGCCCATAAGGTTAAACATGCCACCAGAATCACACATTGAGGAAAGGGAGGTTAGGCGCACCAGAGTAAGCACTAATCCTCCCAACCTGCCCCCAGAATCCCAAATGTTTGAGGGAGGAGGGATAAGGTGAGCCGGCGCTGCACAAATATCCTGTCCGCTCAAGCCCCAAGAACACATAAGTGTCAGGGATGAAGGATGCTATCAAGAAACAGAGTAAGCTAAGGTGAACTGGGGGTAAGACCGACCTTAAAATATAACCTAAAGAAAAGAAGGCGTTGAGAAGCGTCAGGGATGAAGGAGGCTATCAAGAAAAAGAGTAAGCTAAGGTGAACTGAAGATAAGACTGACCTTAAAATATAACCTAAAGAAAAGAAGGCGTTGAGCAAGAAACACGATGAAGATGCTCATCTCCCCCATAGCGCATAAGGATGGAGATGAGGAAGGAACACTATCAAGAAGAAAAAAGGGTAAGCAAAGGCGACCTAAAGACAAGACTCACCTTAAAATATAACCTGTAGGAAAGAAAGCATTAAGTAAGGAATACAAGGTAAAAAGATTCCTACCTTGGCGGATGTTGAATGCTCAGTGACCCATAAGCCACTTACACAGCTGCAGCCTGTGTAAGTGGCTAATGGGATGAACGTGCAGTGTAGTGAGTAGATAAGAATGAAACAAGGTAAATGTGGTGAGCGTCTTGAATCAAAAGTTCAACCGTGTGAAAGTGCTGTGCACTGGCTAAATGCCACAGAATATTTGACTTTGTTTGTGTCCGCACAATGCCGGTGGTTCTACACGATCACATGACCCAACACGTGTACGTGTTGTTTGTTGAAGTCACACAATCACGCGACTTTAAGTTCGAAATATCTTAAGTCTTATTGTTCAGTGTGGTTCCACTTAGTACTTACTATTAAACTCTTATTCACGCGACTGTGTGACTTATTGGTTCAAACTGGTCATTCGGCCAGTACCACTTCTACGTCCTGTTTCCCCACATGCCACCCAAAAGAATGTGGCCAAGAAGTGCGCCACTGGAGGATCTGCCCAGAGAGTTGGGGCACCTCTTGATTCTCCTGTCGTATCCTCTGTGCCAGAGGCATTGGAAACAGTGCCAACAGAGCTTGAGCTCCCTGCAGAGACTCACAGTGTGGTAAGTGGTTCTTCTATGGCATCTGTCTTAGCTTGCTGATGGTTAGTTAGTGGTGTATGATCTGCTGCGACGGCGCAGAAGATGACGTCCTGCTCTACCAGTGCGACGCTTGCCTGCGCGTCATGTGCAGTCAATGCATAGACGTCCCCTGCCGAATCTCTGCAGGTCATCCAACAGGCCAACAGTCTTTTTTCTTTGTCTATCCTGTCACTCTCAGTCCACTCTCAGGTCCCCTGGTTCTTACTTTGTAAGTGATCATTTTTGTTTATTTTTGCGCTACTATTAAGTATGGAATACAGGGTTTCTATAGCGGTAACATACCAGCTCAAGGAGGGAAAGCCGTCCTTCCCCATTTCCTCCAGCTCAATGGCAAGTTTGAGACTGCGTCATGCACGCTATTGGCGTCTACTCCGATCGCTGTCATCCACTTCATCATTGGCGCAAATGATGAGGTAATCACGCCTGTTCCCCTCCTCTCCCACTACCTCGAGCATTTTTACCCAAGTGGTCGTTATGTGTATCTCGAGGTCGTATTCAATGTGGCGACCCACAAGAAGATCGACACATACACTCTCATGCAGCAAGCGCAGGTTGCTGAACTCACACAGCACCTGGGTCACACTGGACGCACATTTGCATTTTTCTCTAACCACTCCTGAGCAAGACAGTGGGTGGCTTTTTGCAGGTAAGGTGAAGGATAAATATATTGCCATGAGCATTTCGCAGGTAATGCATGTATGTATCCTGTATGCTCTCAGCTAATCGGTTATCCAGGTTCTATCTACAGTGCTCTGTCCATATGCTTCCATCCTTAAGGCCGCCAACATGGTGTTTCTGGTGTGCGGCTCTATTGTAGCCTATGAAGACTCTTTTGTCAACCTCAAGGACACCATCCTCGACCTCGAGCTCGCATCTGCCATCATCTTTCCCGCCACTAGGTTCCAACCCTTGGTCGCCACGAACTTTTTGTTGGCTATGGCAGAGCTTGTCATAGTCGAGAAACTCAATCTGCGCAAGGCATTTCCTGGTCTGCTTGCCCTCTCAAGTCGTCTTGGACAACACTCCAAGGTCATCTTGATGACCAAGGATGATACTGCTGATAATCGCTGGCTGTTGGTCACAATGTTTGGGCGCGCCCACCCACAAACTCAGCCGTGGGGTATTGAGGTGCCTGGACAATGCCCTCTCTGTGGATTGACCAATAGCTGGTCAGAGAAGGTAGCAGTGATGTTGTTTGATGTTGACACTGGAGACCAGGCTACTGTGGCCAGGTATGTATACTATTGCAAGTACCCTGACTGCGGTAAGAGCTAGGGCAAGCCTCCCCACAAGTTCCATATCAGTAAGCCTCCTGGTTCCATGGTCAGTGGCACAAGGACCAAACAAAGCACATGGTTCCAGTCCCCTTCAAGTATTTTTCCACCGCCACCTTCTCCGCCGTCTTCTCCGCCGTCTTCATCCATTTCATTCATGTCTTTGGGCACCCTAGGCAAGCGTTCGAGGAGTAGAGATGGAAGTGTTTCTACTAGGAAGAGGGCATGCGTCTGAACGGTTTAGTTTGGTTTCATTAATTACATTTCAAAGTGTTATTTTGATTAGTTAAATTGTCCTCTACTTACGTTTTGATCTACATTTTTGTTGGGATGTTAAAGATGTTGAATAACGTGGTGATGGTATGTCAGGCTTTGCCTGGGCACTTTGTATATGTGACGCATGTCAGTGCACGTGACCGTGTTGGTTGAAACTTTACACCTCACTGGCCGGGATCTTGCCTACACCACGCATAAATCACACTTTCCCCATATCTCCACACCCCTCAATGTCTGACTGGTACGTGTCATTTGAAGAGATCCTTGCTGAGCACAAGGAGGATTTCTTAGAGGCAAACAATCCACAATCGACACATTGCCGTCAGATTCTCAGAGAAGTACGAGATGAAATTGTCGAGCTTCACAAGTTGCAGGATGATCCTGTGGATGTGCCAAAGGCTCTAAAACGAGTAATATCATTTGCTTCAGTTCACAATGTTACTGACACTATAATACAAAGGCTATTAGACGTCACTATGTCCAATTTATTGAGGATGAGGAAGACCGAAGGGCCGAGGAGGAGCTTTTGAGAGATGTTCGAGAGGAAGATCAGCCTGGCGTGTCGTTGGAAGAGAGAGAAGCAAATGCTCGCCCCAAGGATGCTTCCTTCTACAAGAAGAAGCTTACTGATTGGGATGTGGCCCTAAAGCTCTTCAAGCAGGAGATCAACGACTATGACAAGGATGAGCAACAAAAGATGGGGGTGCCTCATTCTATCAAGTACCGGACGGGACATGCAAGGCAGTGGTTCAATCATATGATCTCTGCACAACAGAATGAAGTTCAGCAGGCGAGGGATAAGTGGAATGAGGAGGGTGCTCCTGCAGAATCTCAGGCCATGTAAGTGGACAACTTTATGAAGTCATTTCCCCTGTAATAATGTTCCAGGTACCGCAAGAGGAACCTCAAAAAAAACCCTCGACAATTTTACTGAGGAGATTTGTCGGACGATGGGATGTCGAATTGTGATGCTGGTTAGTCACAAGAAAGCCCCCGAGATGTCTTTGAGTGTCTCCATGTAAGTGTTATAATTTGGCCTCGTATTCAAATGACGGAATCTTGTATATATCTAGCCATGAGTCTGAACCTCTCATGTGCAAAAGGCATTTACAGTCAGTTCACGAGGAAATAAGGAATGGGCGGCCGATGGCTTCAAAAAATTTTCAGAGTGGTCAAAGGCGGAATTTTGTGAGTTCTGATATTTGTTGGGCTATGTATAAGCTAGTATATACTTATGTACCCAACTCAACTAGACCCTGCCGACAATGACGATGACGATGACAACGACGAGGATGAAGACAAGGATGTGAAGCCACCCCTACCTGAAGTTGTATTGGACAAGGATGGGTTCGCAAAACTACCTTCACGGACAGGTGTTACCCTCAATGGGCAGCAAGAATTAGTTCGTCAAATTTTCCACGCATCATATAGTCAGTGAATATCTGTTGCTTAAGTCCTTCCTCCTGCTCACCTAAGGTGTCTCCTTTGTAGAAGTCTTCACTGGCAGCATCAAGCCAGTACCTTGGGGTGTGATCAGCGCTGATCCTGCAACCTACATAGATCTGGATTGTGTCCCCAAGGACTTTGTCTTCAGGGACCCGTCTCACATGAGGTCAGTGGACGTGAACAGGCTTTGGCGCCATTGGGAACTCAGAAGGTTGGAAAGAGAGAAGTTGGTGTTTTTTGTTGGGGGCAGGGTTGCTGACTTGAGCAGAACGCGGCTGGCCAATGCTATTCCATCTGAGGAGACAAAGAAGAAAAAAAGTGTACCTGGAAATTGACAATGTAGGACAGCATATCTTGCCTGCGCAAAGGTCTACCGAGCATACAGAGCAGTCCGGCTGACAGCCTGGCCTCCAACACTTCAGCCGGTGGGAGGTCTACCAAGCATATGGAACGGCCGGCCGATGACAAGACCTTCAATGCGTCAGCCAGCCCTAGGCCTACCAAGCGTATGAAGAGGCCGGCCGAGGAGTCAGACAGCTCCGATGATGATGAGGCTGTATCAGCTCCTGGACCAGATTTGAAAGGGATGGCTGGCCAGGCCATCCCTTGCTCAGCATGGGGCACCTGCAGCTGTGCCAATGAAAGACCGCATGAAGTTTTTGCGGGATCTTAGCAGCAATGACGAATACCGGCATTTTATTGAGGGCATAAGGGACTTGAAAAAGGTAAGCTTTTGGTTTATATTCAAGTCGTCACACTCTATACTCACCTGACGAAGGATCAAACCTCTGAGCATTCAGAGGGATGGCCCACCTGGGCAATGTGGTCTTGGGAAAGGTCGTACCTTCCCAACACCATGCACTCCTTGGACCGGGAGCTCCAGGAGTCCTTGGAGATCATCAAGGCTGCCAAGATCTCTGGCTCGATGTCGGCCATGCGGGTGGCCCTTGGCCTTGGGATGTTACTGAGGGAATGTAAGCGAGCCATCGAGTACGAGGCTGATGAAGCCACTCCCGATATCCCCTCCTATATTAGCACCTCGACCTTGGATACCACATGCCTTGACCTTGTCATTGACGCACTCAACAAAGCGAGAGGAGTAGTAGTCCGAATGTCCAAGGTGAGGGCAGTTCCGCAGGTGGAGGAGCCTGCTCATCAAGAAGGAAGTGAACCTGGAAACACTGCTAAGACCACTGCAGATAGAGGTGAGGTGATACTGGTGGATCTGGTGGATAAGTCCAACCACGAGGAAACGGAAGAGGAGGTGGAGATAAGATGGGAGCTGGAATGGGAAATGCAGTTGCTGGACGAGCAGAGAAAGAAGATGGTGATGATGACGGAGACGGTGAGAATGCTTCACGAGGAAAAGGAGAAGCTAGAGAAGGAGAACCGTGTGCTCGAGAAAGAAATCGTGGATCAACAGATGGAGCAGGTTGAAGAGGGTCAGGAGGCTGTGGGAGATGAAGTGGAGCAGGGGGATGACAAGCAGAAGGAGGTCGACGAGGAGGAGCAGGAGGTCGAGCAGAGAGGGAAAAGCAGAGGGGGAACAAAAGACGCAAGTTGGGGGGATCACAAACTGTTTCCAAACCCAAGACCAGGACTGACAATATTCGCCGATCTTCCAGACCTAGACTTCCCTCCAACAAGGCCTTGCATATTTGACTTTGAGTAGTATGTCGTAACATAGCGTTGTTCTTTCATGTGACTGCAATACAATGTTTCTATTTCTTTGTGAAGGCCACACTGTTAGGCTGGCTGGTCATAGTCTACATTACTGGCAAAGAAACATTGTCAGCTTAGATGTGAGTGCAGGGCCAGCCAGAGGCAGCCACCATGTTACACAAAAGGCCAGCATCAAGTTGGGTTAGCCGGAGGCACAGTGCCAGCACAAGTGGCCGGCACTGCTCCTACACAGAAGGCCAGCATTCTTGTACCTGTGCGTAGGAGCAGGACTGGCCGGAGGTACACTGCCAGCATGACCGGCCGGCACTGCTCCTATGCAGAAGGCCAGCATTCTTGTACCTATGCATAGGAGCAGGACTGGCTGGAGGCACAGTGCCAGCACGACCGGCCAGCACTGCTCTTATGAAAAAGGACAGCATCCCTATAGCTCTGTGTAGGAGCAGAGCTGGCCGGAGGCATGGTGCCAGCATGACCAGCTGGCACTGCTCGGACAAAAAAGGCCCGCATCCTTCTAGCTATGTGTAGGAGCAGGGCTGGCCAGAGGCATGGTGCCAGCATGACCAGCTGGCACCTGTCCTATGCAGAAGGCCAGCATTCTTGTACCTATGTGTAGGAGCAGTGCTGGCCAGAGGCACAGTGCCAGTGCCCTTGGCCTGCACTGCTCATACACAAAAGGTCAGCATCCTTGAAGCTAGGTGTAGGAGCAGGGCTGGCCGGAGGCATAGTGCCAGCACGACCAGCCAGCACTTGTCCTACATAAAAGGCTAGCATCCTTGTAGCTATGTGTAGGAGCAGGGCTGGCTGGAGGCATGGTGCCAGCATGACCGGCCGGCACCTGTCCTACACAGAAGGCCAGCATTCTTGTAGCTATGTGTAGGAGCAGTGCTGGCCGGAGGCACAGTGCCAGCACCCTCGGCCGGCACTGCTCATACACAAAAGGCAAGCATCCCTATAGCTATGTGTAGGAGCAGGGCTTGCCAGCGGCTGGCACACATTCTACGCCCGCAGCCAGCCTGCTTCTTGGCCAGTAGGGTTGTTGTGGCTGCAGTGATTGATACGTACCGGCCAGCTCTGTATCTACATGGACCGGCCAACATCGGCTGGGACACATTCTATGGCTATTTTGCATGTCTGGGGGACCGGTTCTATGTGCCCAGTGACTGAAGGGTCTGGGCCATGGCACCGTCAGCATCCACTAAGAAGCTTGAAAGATGAGATCACACACATTCTGAGAATGGGGCATGGCCGTGGCACCATTGGTGCCACCTAAGAAGCTCAAAAAATGAGATCACGCACATTCTGAGAGTGGGACAATGGCTGTGGTGCCATCAGCATTGCCTAAGAACCTCGAAATATGAGATCACGCACAGACTGAGAGCAGGACATGGCCATATCAGCGTCACCTAAGAACCTTGAAAGACGATATCATGCACCAACTGAGAGCAGGACATGGACATGGCAGAGGCACCATCAGTGCCAGGTAAGCAGGTCAAAAGACCATTGAATAAGCAGGTCAAAAAACAAGGACATGCACTGGATGAGAGCAGGACACAGCCACAGGACCGCAGGCAGGTCAAAAGACGAGGATGCGCACATCCTGAGAATGGGACATGGCTGCAGCACCAATCAGTGTCAGCAAGCAGGTTGAAGATGAGATCCCTTACCTTAGCAGTAACACTTCCTGAGAGCAGACTCAGCCGTGGCACCATCACCATCAGCAAGCAGGTCAAAAGATGAGGACACTCACATCCTGAGAAATGGGACATGGCCGTCGGCACCAATCAGCATTGAAAGATGAGATCATGCACTTCCTTAGAGCTGGACATGGTCGCAGCACCATCTGAAGCGTCGAAATATGAGATCATGCACTTCCTGAGAGCAGGACTTAGCTGTGGCACTATCACCATCAGCAAGCAGGTCAAAAGACAAGGACACTCACATCCTGAGGATGGGACATGGCTGTGGCACCAATCAGCATTGAAAGACAAGTTCCCTAGAGCAGGATACAGCCGCGGCACCATCAGCATCAGGTACTAAGCAAGTCAAAAAAAACACAAGAGTGAAACAAACTAGAACGATTAAATAAATAAAATGATGCAAAAAATCTTGAAGTGCAAATTGAACTTGAAATTTTTCAAAGTGCACAACTTACCTAAGCATCTGCACGGCGCCGTGTGACACCATTCAACATCAATTTGCTATGAGCTTGATATAATTTAGTGTATTTTTGATACAGTTTTACCCACTAAATCTGCAGCTTGATAATAATATGTAATGCTACAATCACACTGTTGTCTGCTTGCAAGATACACATCAAGATGATATTTTTCTGGTATAGTCATATCATATGTTAGATATTTGTGATGCTACAATAATAATATCTCAGGCTAAAACATGACATGTAATAATGTTTTTTAATTACCAATTATATCTAGTCATATCAAGTTCGGGTTGATTTCCTGATGGCACTTGTGAAAAGCACTCACCATTGGGAGTGCTAGAAATTCATTGATTGCAGCCATACTAAGAGGAGAATTGTCATATCTCATATTCCGGACCTACATCTGATGATGTTCTCATGCCTTCCGGATGCACATCCAGACCTCCATACCCTTATCCATGACTCCATACCCTCATCCATGCCTTCAGTCCTCCAGTTTACTATCAGTTCGGATCTGTACACCTTTGTACATCCATATATCCATACCTCCGGACCTCCGGACCTCCGCCCTAAGCCTGCTTCATCCACCCTTGATCCAATTGGATCTGAGCTCATTCCATCTGGGACTTTACCTTCCCTAGAATACCAGACTATATCCATGATTCATATCCTAGTTCCATCTTCACCTAGATCTCCAGATCCACTCATCCAATATCCAGACACCTCATCCAATATCCAGACCTCCAGATCCAACCTATACTCATATCCAAAGCTCAAACATTAAATCAGTGTCTATCCCCTTATGGTAATCCCCTTGACTCTGGACTTCGGTTATCTGTGTTTCCATCTTGCTTATTGATCCTTGTACTCTGTATCATCTCCAAGTTCATTTACTTATGTTCCATTCATACTTACTGATGTTTCCACATGCTCGTACATAGCATTAGTCTTCAGCTTACTGATTCTCTCGGATCCCTTCCAGTATATAAACCTCTGTACAACTCCTGTAGAGTTTCCTGAGTTCGAATATCATCTTAGACTTCACTTATCCTGCTCTCGGACTTCGGTCCATCTTAGTCTGACCTTTCCTTAGGCATAGGAAGGATTCCCTAGGCTGACTTTCCAGTCCTCTGGATTTATCCTTCTGTCTACATCCATTCTTAGAGTCTGTTTGGGATTGGGATTGGGATTTTGCCCAACTTTGACAAACTTTAAGAAAGAAAATCACAAGGTTAAGTAAGCATGCTGCCATTTGGAGCTTGAAACTGATGTCACACTTATTAGGGTTACAGATATGCGTGTGTATGTACATGCATACCACAGCCATGCTCCCCCACCTCCTTTGCCACAGTGACAACCCTTCTGCCAATGAAGAGGATTCATCAAACTCGAGGAATGAGCGGCATCAGAAGAAGGATGAGGAGGATGAGGAGGACGAGGGAGATGAGGGAGATGACTCCAGTGAGGACTCGGGGAGTGTTGATGATGCAGAGAAAGCAGATATCAAATTTCTCCACACCATCATCGACTTTTTCAGTGCATGGTCATGTCGGCTTCGGAAGTTATCAATATTGCAGGGGTCACTGTTAATGCCTACACAAACACATATTACGATAAATAGCCCTATCACATGTCAATTCTGATGGGGGTTGGGTGGGTCAACGAGCTTCTCAACAGTCATCCAGCACGAATTCAATGTTAGCTCAGTGTACATTGCCATGTATTTATTATATTACTACAAGTACTTCATGATGGTGGCATAAACAACTCAAAACATGTAACACTAGAGGAGCAACTCGCCATCTTCCTATATGCCTGTGTTACAGGCATTTATGTATGCCACCTTGCTGAGCAGTTTCAGCATTCAAACAATACTATATCAGAGTGTGTCTTCCCAATCTTACCCCTATGCTTGCTCAATATTGCTTTCAGATATTTCAAACAGATTCTTATTGCATTCGCCTCCCGGCCAATCTATTCTACCTATGTCCGGCTTCCCAACAGCAGAAACTCCAATACCCGCCCAAATCCTCAAGACAACAAAACTATTTCCCTACTTTGCAGACGTAATCGGTGCTATTGACAGGCACACACATCACTTGCCATCCCTCAGCTGCTGATCGTGATGCCACTCATGACCACAAAGGCAATTTAACACAAAATTGCCTTGCTGCATGCGACTTTGACATGCAGTTTCACGTATATGTTGAGTGGTTTCCAGGGGTCTGCAGCAGATGCTCATATCTACAATGTCACTCCTCTCAATGATTTTACAATCCCTCAGGGCAAGGTGTACCTTGCAGATGCTGGATTTGCTGCATGTGATGAATTATTCGTACCCTATCGTGGTGTGCACTACCACCTTGCTGAATGGGGCCAGGCAAGTCTTGTGTATGTTGCAGCCACTTATTACAACCCTGACATAGTACTTACACATCTTTGCAGGCCTTGCAATGCTAAGGAACTATATAATCTATGCCACGTGCAGCTCCGCAATGTCATCAAGCGTATTTTCAGTGTCTTGAAAAATCGCTTCCGCATACTTTGGCTCCCTCCTAAGTACAACTCTGATATGCAAGCTCACATCCCTCCGGCATTGTGTCTCATACACAATGTCATCCACATCCATGACCCAGATGAATTATTGGACTACCATCAAGTGGAGTCAGATGAGTGGAGGGCTCCTTACAATAGCGGCACACTCGCCAATGGACCTCCAACTGAAGCAGCACACATTCGTGCACACAATGTTCACGACAAGATTGCTGAATCAATGTGGGGTGATTACCTCACAGAAAGACAGCGTAGAGGAGCGTCGTTGCCACCTG